TATGCAGAAGGAATAAATGACGACGTTGAATTACAACACTCGAATACTACCAGTAAGGTCACATTCGATGATAGTCACATATGGAAATCAAACGAAAACAGTGTCGAGTCATTCGAAGGCGTTAAAACATATCCGTTTTTAAACGATAGTTTATTGTTTTTAATACAGAGAAATAAATCAGCACCTGCGATTTTACCACCCACAGACGATGACTGTAAGAATATCAGTTTATCTTCACACGATTCCCTGCAAAGTAGTGATAGTGAATTTGAATCGGCTTTCCATAGCCTTTTAAACTGTCCCACAAACACTTCGACGCCTAAAGTTTCTAATAGAAGTTTTCGAAACATGAGACAACTGAGAAATAAACGAATTTCGAAAATGGCAGTTTTACAAACGAATAAAAGGTAAATATGTCTCTGTCTATCTTGGCGTGTGTTATTTATCTCAGTTTGTTTAGGCTAACTCCGGAAGCCCCGCCTGTGCGAAAATGGCTTCAAGAAACCAAATATCTGTATGAAACGGAATGTACAGCTACCCTCCAATGCAAGTCAATCGCCGCCGAATTAAATCAAAAGGTCGCCCTATTGGCTACAAGTTTGACTTCTCGTTTACGAAAAGTATTGTCTGATTCCGAAACGATACTATCAGAGTTTAATAATATTAAAACGTAAGTGACACTTCCGCTTTTCTTCATCGCATTTACATATCTACCTTGTTGGTGCATTTTCATGTCCTTTCCTCATCCCATAATCGTAATTTAGTACCTATAATTCTAAGGCGTTTGTGCCTAGGAAAAGCAGCTTTTGTAACGGTCAATATCGATGTGCCATATTTTGTGGAAGGTGTCGTACTTGCATCTTGGCACATCAGTTTGTCCAAAAGTCAGCAAGAGATCCGACCAAAATGGGATCGAAAATGCACAACAGTATTACCTACCTACTTTATTAAATCGAAGATCAATAGGGTACCAACTTCTGTTAGCTTTGCTCCAAGTACGTTTTCGCACATTGAACACCTTGCAATGCCCAAAAAGTTATCTTTTGATCGAGATCTCAAGACTTACCATGTATACAAAGTTGCGTTTTTCTCTCGGTTTTTCTACATTTAACGAAATGAAAGATTTTGTTTTACACGTTAGCAACATTTGTAACGTTCAACAATTTTTCTTGCCATTTCTATGTTAGGCGTGGATCATACCTACTGAGGCGATAAGTAAATACGATAAGCGATATATCGCAGGCGATAGGTACATACGTGATACGCGATATATGCATGAACAGATTCTTGAAATTCAAAGGGTGGCGATAAATAAGGTTTTTATTTTTTATTTGGTTAAGGCCTATTCTTTATGGGGATGTAGATATATCATGTATGGCGGTGACTACATAGCTTGTGCTGAAAACTCGGCCCCGAAAAGTCGCCCGCGGAGAATTCGTCTTCAGAAGATTCGCCCCATAACGAGACCCGAGAGTGTGGTTTACGACTACTGTTATAGCTTGTTCTTTGTTACAGCCAAAAGCATCACACTGGAGCGTTGGCTCAAAGCGTCGCAAGATTAGTTGAAGAATTCGTGGCGAATTTTAACAGCACATGCGACCCGTCGGATGTTTTGGACATATGCGATAATATAAGATGTACGAATTTATACGATATATCAAGACTAATTATTCAACTTAGTCTAAAGTGGGAAGCACTCCAAGAACAGATTTTGAATGACGAATTAAAAAAATTAGTAGCCGAATTAGAAGATCCCCATTCCGAGCTTCATGTGCGCGCAACAGTAATTGGATTGACGTCCATTGCGTTGAGAAATAAAGAAATTGTTAACATTTTAATTTCTAACAATTGCGTGCAGGTACTATGCGTTTTATGCGAAAAATGCGAAAGTTCAACTGTGCGCTCATTAATTCTCCGCGCTCTATCGACGATCTGCGTAAATAATACGGCGATAAGAAAATTCGAGAATAATTCGGGAATTAATTTAATTAGCGAGATCATCTCGAACGGATCCTGTCCTGATCCTGAAAGATCGGAAGCGGTGGCTCTTTTGGCACAAATTACCGCACCGTGGATTGAAGATAATCGAAACGTCTACGGGTTACAACAACAGATCCAAACTTTAGTTAAATCGTTAACTAATTTTGTTGCCAGCACGAAGTGTTGTCAAAATTTACTATTGTGCATAGCCGCATTATCAAATCTAACAGAGATGGAACCGACGACAGTAAAGTATATCTTACACCAGAATAGTATTGGAATTATTTTACGGTCTGTGAAAGCACGAGGAAGCCTAATTTCGGTGTATGTCTTGGAGCAAGTTGCAAATCTTCTTGCGAATTTATCAGGAAAACAAATTGCAAGGGGTGCTTTGATTGAAGAGCAAGCGGTGGCAGTATTGCTACATTTGCTGCAATACAATCACACCGACAAGGATGTAGAAATCCGTTTGCAGCAAAAATCCATTATTGCGTTATCGCGATTGAGTAGCTGTGTAGAAGCTGCGGACCAAATCGTAAAATGTAAAGGAATTAAAGCTTTAGTGGCACTTTGCCGAGAACGGAAAGAAAGACATGACAGCGATGCAGTTTTAGTAGCAGCATTGGTATGCATAAAGTAAAATTGGCAATGCAGTTAATTAATAGCAATTTTTATAGGCAACTCTTCGCAAAACTGCTGAAGCGTGCGGAAATGGTGTTATAGATTCTATTGACGTTCAAGAGTTAGTTGAACCGAGGCTATTAGACTCATTTTTAGCCTATTCGGCTCAAAATGAGAGCTATGTTTGATGTTCCTGCCCCCTAGAAGCTTTATGTGCCTTATTTTACCTACCTATGTATTGTAATTATATGTATTTTGTAGATATGCTATATTATATATTCAGTTGTTTTTGTTACACATTACCAAATATATATCTTGTGTGAATGGTGATTACCAAAATCGTAATTAATTTTAGATTTTGTTCGAAAAACGGCCACGCTCGTTATTCACTGCTCTACGAAGTGAACTTTATAAATTTTTATGACCACGTTTTAGAAATTGTAATGACAAATATCAGTTTAATGTTTTGGTTTTGGCTGTCCATCCGTCTGAGTTTAGGAAGATTTATATTTTCAAAACACACAAAATTTACCGGGACTAGCACAGACACCACCTGCGCATGCCCGATGTCCTTTTGTGTCCAAGATCATGTGTACCAAATTTGGTTCCAATCGGTTCAGTCATTGCGATAGAAATAGGGGTTGGAAATCATCGAAAATTTGTCTTGAGTAGGATTCCTGGTGCTTCAAAACGTGTATTTTCCTCAAACAAAAGGGGGGGGAGGGGCATTTTTTACCCCCAATCCAATACCACCGCCTTTCCTTTTATGTCTACGAATATTGTGCACCAAATTTGGTTCCAATCGACTCGGCCGTTTAGTCGGAAATGAGAGTACAGACGGACCGACATCAACGACATTTCGTTTGATTCGAATTCCTGGTGTTTCAAAACCTGCATTTCCGTAAAAAATGGGGGGTCAGTTTAACAAACAAAAAATTGTTTTATTTTCAATATGTTCCAGGGTGAAAAGCCATGATTTTATTTTTTTTTAGGTGAGTGTTTTGGAAGAGGGCAATTGAACTGGTAGTAAGTTGTAAAGTTTTGGTGCACAATATATAAAGTGTCTTTTATATGTTACATTCCTACACGGTTTAGAGATTTAAACCTACTCGAATATACTTTCGCACTACCTCTTAAGTGTTCTCTTTTAAATTGCGAAATATAGGAAATGCATGTTCTCTAATTTATGCTCCTACTATAATTTTAATAATTTTTTTGAGTCATAACAACCGGAAAAATCGTAGACTAATACTCCTCCCTAACAAAAAATGCCATAGGTATTGCAATTTTGAATAGACTATATGGAATGATCAAAAGTCTCAGAGCCACCATTACAAAGTTGTCATCATCAGCGTTCAACTGTTAAATATATTAATATTATTGTCGTTTATTGGTACCTATTTTTGTTTTCATTTGTGTATTTTCAACAGCCACAGCAGTTCCAGTCAGTTTTTTTCAATCGTACACTACACTTCCACCGCGATTTTCTGATTAGCACCATTGTATTTATAAACGAATATAATGCTAGCACGAATTTGATTATGTTATGAGGTATAGTGGGAAGAGTACCAGAAAATACAGTTTGTTTGTTTTAACTGTCACAGCGAATATTTCGATCACCTGATAGAAATATGGCAAAGTGCTGTAGAAGAAAATTTATTCTACATTTAATTTTGCATATAATGGACAAAAAAACCATTAAAAATATACAACATTCTCAGTCATGTAGACCTTCTTTACTTGAACTGGAATCTATGCGGATATTAGGAAAACTAACAGTTGTTCGTGGTGTAAGTAGATACTTGATTGCAAAATCGCGGTGAAGAATCAAAAACAATGAAACAAACAGGTGTCGAGAAACAATAGCTTCCGTACTGGATCATCGAAAATGGTTTCGTTAGTCTTTTGAAGTGAAGAAATCGGATACAACATTAATATTATATTGTGTCCACATACCTAAGCATCAACATGGGTATTTGACTTTTTGTCTAAAATTTTTGTAAATAGGTATTATTAAACCTTCCGTTGGCAATATGAATGAATAAGAAAAAATCGCTTGGACAAAAGCCACATATGCCATAATAATTTATATAAGATCACAGACAATACAATAATCATAGTTATAATACAATAAGTTACATTAACGTAACACAACATTTTGGTATATCTACTTATGTATAATTGTATACTCTTCATATGATACATACCTATTGATTAATTGATTGAGCGAAAACGTTAAGACATTTGATCAATATCCGTAGTAGCTTATTATAAACAAAAACACTTAGGCTGTATTTAAACAAATAAAGCTATGCTATACTCGTAGACCGTAGTGTAAATACACAACTTTCATACAAGGTCTGCATCTATCTTTGCTCCCATTCTTTGAAGAGCAATTATTGTATTTACAACTTTTATCCATCGTTTTTTAATTACATATCGTTTTAATTTCTTTGTACTCAACACCATTTCTGACTGTTCAGTTGAACTGTGTAACCATTTTTGCTCCAAGCATTGTAACGCGGTCATTCTAGAGCTAAAATTGTTAAAATAAATACATTATGACTTAAAAATAGCTAAGAAAATATATTAATCTTATTCTCTACACAATTTACGCAAGAGGTTTAAAAGAAAAAAGGAATATAAAGAATGGTCCCTATATTATTTTATTAGCAACAAAAAACAAACAGCCATAAAAATGCAAAAATGATAAATAGACAGTAAGTATAATATGGATAGTATACGTGAAAGATTCAAGTAATAAATGCGTTACTTAAAACCATTAGGTTTCATAAATGGGTGAGTATTTTTATTTATGGAACGTGATTGAAAAAACATATTTAGGGAACTAATAGTCTTTTGTCCTAGATTATCGTTTTCGCTCCATTCGTTGGAAACGGAACCGTGCCGAGGAATTGGTCGAGAAGGTACCTGTGGTCCGTCCCATTGCTCCAACAATTTTAAAAGCATGTCTTTGGTACCATTAACGGTAGTTTCAATGGAATTCGAACTTTCATCAGAAAGAGACGACTTAGTACTCATGAAGCAAGAAAAGTCTGAGTCGAAGCTACTTTTAAAGGAGCTTGTTTGATTTGTTTGATATAAAGGTACATCTCTACTGCTTGTTGATACGCGAAATTTCGGCCTTCTCCAAGGAAACTCGCCTTTCGTATTGTGGGTTTTTTGTGAGAGATTTGGGGAATTTATCGCTATGGCCGGACTGGGAATGGTTGCGTGCATCTTCCGATCCGATTCCACTTCGTATTTACCACTGACCTTTGTTGACGATACAGTCGTAGATTTGATCTCACGATCACTATTAAATTCTGGCATGGTTGATAGCTGAAACAACTTATCAGTCAGCTTACGGATTTCGTCTGCCAAATTTAAACGTTCAGTAATATCATTCCCCTTCACGATTCCAGTACTATCCGAAGCCCTTCTAAAATAGTCCGTTTGCGGTATTGCTAATAAGTCGTCATTATTTATAGTCAAATTGTGTGGAAATCCATCGTCGGACCCTACCGATGATCCGAGAGAGCCGCAAGGAGATGGAGACATTCCTTCTAATGAGTGCAGCGACTCAGATAATTGTAGTTTGTAGTGGCAAGGTGCTATGATATGTGAAGAGGATTCAAAGACGTAAGGGGAATTGGGATGTTCATTCCAACGTTCAACAAACTGCTTTAAGTTGTCTTTTGCTACTTCCATATACGAAGAATTTGGCGAAGATCGTCGCAATAACCACACGTGTTTTAAACAGTCTTCCGCTGACATTCGTAAACTGAAAAAGCGACAAAGACCCAATTAGTTGTTAGTTAATGTTAATCAGGATAGGCTGCATTTAAATACACACTGACAAATCCCCATTGAAGATATTATTACATCAACGTGTTAGTTTTACAGGTAAGTTATTACTATAATTGGGTCTTTGCCATAATGATCTTTTATAAGCGGATTTGCGAATTATGTGCAAACTTTCTAGTGCCATGTGAGTTAGTATCGCTTTATTGGTCAATAGAAGCACCATGCTACTTACGTCATGTCTTTCAAAAGAAGTTTGGCTATGAAGTCCTTGGCATTCTCGGAAATGTTTCGGAAGGCCTCGTCATCAAAATCGTATTTACCAATAGTAACGTTCGCCATTGTTTCAACATCTGTATGTCCCATAAACGGTGATAATCCAGACAATCTGCCAAGACAAATGTAATTTAAATTGTAAATACAAATGGTTATACTGACAGTACATAGCAAATTACGCCGACCGACCACATATCTGTACCATAGCCGATAGTGTCAAAATTAACTACTTCTGGCGCAACAAACTCAGGAGTTCCAAATAAAACCTGCAATTTCTTGTCGGGATCATATTTTCTGGCCAATCCAAAATCTATGATTTTTATTCTATTTCCTGTTTTTGTGAGGCACAAAATGTTTTCGGGCTGTAATGTAAGTGAGTGTAGAAAAAATGCTTTTTCTTGAAATGTTATACCTACTTTCATGTCCAAGTGTAATATGCGCTGTTTATGAATAAAAGCCACTCCTTCACAAATTTGACGCATAAAGGCTGTGCAACTCTTCTCTGTCAGCACGAAATCTTCATCTATGACTCTTTCAAATAGTTCTCCGCCCTCGATTCTACAATTTAAAACGATTCACACTGAGAAGTATAAGTTAAGATGTTACCCACAACTCTAAAATTACACTCATCATTTTTCCGTTTTCGAACGCGTCGTAAATTTGAAGTAGTCGTGGATGTTGCAGGCACTTCATAATGTCAACCTCTCGTTCCACATTTCTTCTATCTTCCTTTTTTGAAATTCCAATAAATTTAGCCGCCAAGTCCAAACCGGTGCGTTTTTCCTTACATTTAAATACTGTTCCAAATTTTCCCCTAAAATAGGTTGTATAGAGACCAACAATGCAAGATAAGTGAAAAATAGTTAACCTTCCAATTTCGTTAATTAAATCATAATAATCCTTGGGGTCCTCGCCTTTTTTAATACGTACGTCTCTGTATGGAAAGCTCAGTTCGACTTCTGAAACAAACTCAAATGTAACCGATATATTGGGAATATACCTAATTCGAAAAAAATAGGAACATTAAACCATTGAATAAAAACACTATTTTTATTCAATGATTAAACTGATTCTGCAGCTGAATGAGGTATTCAGATTTCTAACTTTATTTTCTTTCACGCTCGAAGCCCAAATTGCTAAAATACATATATGTTGAATCGCCTATTTGGGTTGTAGTTCATCGATTATTTTAATTGCAAATAAGAAACCAAATGCTTGCAAAAATACTCCAACCATCAATATTCAGCGATTGCGACTCACTTCCTTATCACAGCTTGTAATATACACATTTAGATTTTGATTTAAAATAAATGATACACTTCCCAACATACATATTCATGGCAAACGTGCCAATTGTTTCTTTTTTTGTGACAAGGTTAATAATAAACCATATTACTTTTCATAAAACAAAAGCATTTCACTCTATGGCATTGTATAATTTTCTCGTTTTTAAAATTCGATCACAATCTATATCTAGGTATAGAGACGGCTCGAAGAATGGGTATGTGTTACAAATGGCAGATGTTTAAAATTTCGTTTTGGCATTATTTGCTACTGACATTCAAAAATTCCGTTAATTGGGTAGAGCATAAATTACATCTAACTACTATGTAATTAGATGAAGGTGAATTTTCATTCACGAATTTACTCATTTCAAGAAACGTAAACGAGTGAGAAAATTCATTCGTTGCTGTGAAAGATTTTATACAATAGACCATACAATTTTTGCTTATGTTATAATTATGGTAAACACTAACTATGAAAACGTTATCATTAGTAATCCGATTACTGAAATAGCTGTTGAAATATTTCATTGACAATTTTAAAATTGGTTATTTACTTTGGCTTACGATCAAAATTCGAGTGACAACTTTAACATATAAAAATTACTTGTCTGATATCGGAACACCGTACTTACATACTGTCAATAAATATTCATTTAAAATGAGTGTTGTGAATGAAAATTTCTGAACATAAACTTCATTGCATAAGTACTTTGGTGTCATTTTCAACTCATAATAACAATTTCAGTATTTTGGAGAGATATGCATAGCTGTTACTATGGTTTTTGCACAGTTTGTGCTATTAAAAGCAAGAGTAGGTATATCGCAAATTGAACAAATTCGGTATTACAATAGTCATTCTACTGTCCGCGGGGAGTATTTCATTTTGTACTTTTGCCTTTTTAATACAATCCAAACCGGCATATTCACAATAGGATGAATGTGTTTATTGATGGATCTTTTAAGGTCGCAGAGTTGGATACTACAAGTGCTTGCATTACAAATATTAAGGGTTCCCTAAAAAGACTTGTTAGTAAGCAAAGTACGTGTTACATTGAGAATGGACAAGGGCCATAAACAAAATTTTCAGTAGGGTAATTTTTTGAACAGCTTGCATTGGCATATTTAATAGCACTTCGATTGGCGAAGTTTTGATATCGCTGTTTTTCTTCGTTCTCGAGTTAGACGAAAGGACAAAACCATCACATATGGGGAATCAATGCGTTCACCAAAGTAATGTAGTAGGTGCTACATAAACGAACGAGTTATCACCCCAGTGAAAGATTTAGGAACGTACGTACTACATAATATTTACATACCTATATATGCCATTTACATATATATGTAGGTAGTTTCAATGTGGCGTTGGACTGTTGCCAAGTCTTTTATATGCAAGCAACAGAAGGCCTTCATGTTAAATGTGAGGGTTTTTTATTTCAATTAATTTTAAGAGTAAATGGGCAATCACAAACATTTTAGTCATTCCAAGAGGTCAGTGTACGAGGCTGACAAGCACATTTTATAACTGCTTTGGGTTTACTGTTCCAAACATTTGTCGGGGTACTTCACGTCGGATAAAACATGGTAAATACTAAATATAGTGTTGAGCGTAACCTCAAACTAGCACACAAAAAACAGAGGTAGGTAATCCCCAAAGCAAAACTACTATACGATCAAAAAAATGAGTTGCTGTCGAGTCACCTTTGGAATTTTTGTTTACATGGGAAATCGTACTTAACTTGAGCTTCCAAAGGCGACTCGACCGCCACTCATTTTTGATCGCCCGTTACAAAAGTTATCAGAAGAAATAACGTCGGACACTAAATTGCCAATATGTACCTACCATTAAATTTTTGAATTTTCTTTTCTAATGTAATTAAGGCTTACAATACCAGAAAACTAAATACTCAGGATTTGATTTAAGACCAAATTATTTGTTGATACTTATGATTATTCTTACATTATCATATATATTGTACAAAAACACGGAGGTAGGAGAGACCAAAGCAAGCATTTTTTTCCAAATAAACCAAGGGATATCTTTCAATTGGGAATTGGCCGTTGAAGCGCTATGTATTCTTTGTAGCAGAATGGATACTCAGTTTTGGTGACGGCTGTGCTGGTAGTAGAGAAAGTAAAAAGTTTCCTAGGAATTTAATTTACTGATATCGAACAGATGGATCTCGTTTCGAACTTTTTTCAAAGTAGTACTTAGTAGGTTTGATGATAACGAATAACGAAAGTAAAAGAGAAAAAATTTAAAACATCTTCGAAAGCTCGAAAAAGTTTCATTTCATGAATATTAACTAGAAGCTTTAAATATATAATTTATATTCAAAGCTAGAAGAGAATCGTAAAATCGCTGCGTGCCAATTATTAGTGGATGCAGGCGACGGCAGTGGAGAGTTGACGGTAAAATCGTGATGAAAAAAAAATAAAGCGCCCTAGTGTATGTACGTTAAATTTGGAGTCTGGTCGACTCACACCTATACCGAACACTGAACAGTTTTTAAATTATTCTAATTTCTTCGGCTTTTTGTATTAATTGCGGCCCTGTACAACATATACAGCGCCGGCCTTTGAAAATTTACAATGGCTATATTTTCTTATTCAAAGAGATAGTTATATAAAAAAATACAGTTTCTTTAAAAATCAAGGGGAATCCAAATTACTTGGGTAGTTTTTGTTTCGCGCAACATTTCGAAAAACTCAAATAACTGCAAAACTCGACTCGACTCGACTCGTCGGTCGGTCGATTTTGTTCTATTTCTATTTAGCAGGATAAATATTAATCCTAATTTTTGTATCAATAATGTAATTTTGCGGAATAGTGCAATTTTTAGCTAATACGGCCAAAAAGATTTTATATACATATCCAACGATTATGAAATTTATCTCCGGTTTACTTCGTATAATTGTGGCTTTTGACAAATTTTCCAACAAGAAACTTTTCAAGCGTCCTTCCAATATTGAAAATAGATTATTCAGGTGCCTTAATTTAATTTTTAAGGGAGAGTAGAATCCTCCATAACTTAAATTTAAACGTATAGTTTTAGATTTTATGCATTATTTTATGGTTACACTCGGAACGGATTCGAAATGTTAACGACAAGTAAAATTTTCAGGGTTTCAATAGAGACGACGATAATGATGGCATTGCTGGCCTCGCTGCATGCTTTCACGAGTACTGGAAAAGAGAATTTTTGATTTTGATTTGACTTTACAAAACAAAACCTTTTTTTAAAGTTTTGAAATTATGTAAGTCAGATATTCAATTCAATTTGACCTTGTCATTCACAAATCATTTTGCATAAATGCTTCAGGGTTTTAGAATAAAACTGCTTTTATAATGTAGGTACATGTAACTTTTCGTTCAATATTGGGACGATCATATTCCGACTAAAGGTGCGTCTGGGTAAAACTCTCGCAGGTTGTACTTCCGGATCCAGCAATTGCTTGCGAACAACAACCACGATCCACAACGATGGGGTTGGGTGAGTGGAGAGGATCGAATGCTGCACTCCATCAAGATCGCCTCGCAAGCGCCGGAACATGTCCTAAATTCGATCTAACGCACCGTTGATTAGGGGAAAGTCCCCTACACATAATTCCCAAGGAATTGGTAATACATGAATTAGTTCCTTTATTTTTCTTATTTTGACGGTGTAAACTCTTTGATCTCAGAGTGTCGATGAAAGACCGGAAACGCTGCTATTTTATCGATCATTCTGTATAATTTGGCAAACTGGAAATTAACTAAATCCATCTCTTATTGATGTGCAAGAATTCCAAGTGAAAAGGGAAATAGGCAATTAGGTGGAAAAAGATAAGAACAAACCTATTACTTGGAATTATAGTCATACGTGAGAATGGCCTGCTGTTCAAGCTATGTAGAAGCCCCTCAGAACCATCTCGTATTTGTCATAAAGAACTCAATGTCCCAAATTTTGAATTTTGGACCCAACATTTTCGAAATAACGATCTGCGGGCTTCCTACCCTTATTGAAGGTACGAAAATTGGGACAAATGCGTGTCGTTAGAATCTGAAGGGAAGCTCTGCGGAAAGAAATATGCAGAAGAAGTGTCATTGGCCTTGACTATTTAATTGGCACTTGAGTGTTAAAGCTTAATGTTGAAGCTTTAACTTTAAAACTTGAATGCTCCAAGACTAAAAGGTTCGTATGCTGAATATTGTATATTGATCCTTAAATTTTGGTTTGGCAGTCTCGAATCTTAATTCTCAGATATACTTACCTCGAAAATATTTTTTAAAATTCAAGCTTGAGCCTTGAAACTTGAACTTTACAGTCTTAATCGTAAGACCTCACTTAGGGAGCTTAAACTTTGAAACAAAATAATATATCTGGATTAGAATAATGGTGTTGAACCTTGGAACTTTGATTCGAACAAGAACAGGAAACCCATACAATGATAAAATAGGAGATAGTGTCTACAGAGCAATACTGTCTTCAAGAGCAACTATACCAAACTCTTTGCACGTTTCCTGTCATCTCAAACTAGTAAATACAGAAGGTTACAAACAAGTGGTAGTGCAAATAGGGAAACGATATGATTCAGACTACCATGCGTTGAGACATTATTCATCTCATTATCCAAAAAACAAAATTCACAATAGGTACCTAGTGAGGTTTAATTAATGTACAAGGATGAATTTGGAAGTAGTGACATATTTCGAAATTGAGATAATTCAATCTCGTTCTATTCTTGTTTGAAGGGGTTGTTTTTTCGTTGTAATTCTTTGAAATGAGTAGGTAACATTTGTGATAATTTAATTTAAGTACTTATTACCTTTTAACTTTTCGGTATCTGAACAAGAAGCCATAAACAATTCTGGAGCGTGTTACTGCTAGCAGATTGCTAACAAAGACAAACGGCGCTTTCGTAAAGTATGCACGAAGCCTATCGACGCCTTGTTTTACGGAATTTGCCAAAAATAACGCTGGGTGAGTCAGGATACTTGCACGTTACTTAACGAAACCAGTGGCAAAAATTCCATTCGCAGGATAGAATAGTTTGTTTGTTACCTACTATTTAGCAACAAGGAACGTTACCTTTATACATAATACGTAGTTATCCTTTATACACGTCTCTCAGTAAATATTGCTTAACTTTTGGCAGTTCTACAGGTATTTACTTAATGAATTTACATACCTCCGACGGGATCGTCCTCGTCCACTCGAATCATTACGTTAGCTGTAATACAGATGGATTATTACTAAAAATTGCAGTCAGTAGGGCAATGCATTAAAGTTATATTTTTAGTTATAAGTCGGGCATAAACGGGTGCGTTGCACATTAAAACACAGTAAAAATAAATTACAAAACAGAAATATATTCGAAACTAGTTATAGATTGAACCTCTACTGTAATTTGCTTAAAGATACAAACCTGAAACGTCATGTAAGATACAATTTGTTTAATTTACACACGATCAAAATTAGAAGCTATGTTTTTTCGTCCACAACGCCCTTGAAATTGCACAAGTATAATTCTTCCGATCGTTGGCAAAACGTGCACGCGTGTGCCAAAAACATAATTCAGGCGTTAATCTCGAAAAGTTGTGTTAAAAAGGTAAATTTCATGCATATGATTGCGTGAAATCAAAGCATTTTCACTGGTTAGAATCTAATTTTAAGCGCTCACCTTATGGTAGAAAATGGACAAATAAAAACAAATACACAACTTTAACCTACAAGCGCGTTAAACATCAGCACGGTCCGTAAGAAGCGTCTCGACGCGCGTTTGGACGCTGGTGCGCGCCAAAATTAGCACAGACCGACCAGAAAGCATTTTTTAAATCACGTGACCTTTTGGGGGAGGATTTTATTGTTCTCGTGATACAGAATTTCACTTTAGGTAGCTGTGTTGTATCATTGAATAATTCAGATTCTTTATTCAATGGTTGTATGCAGTATTAAAATGCTTACAGGGAACAAATTGAGAAAAGTGTTAGGTAACATTTACTTGCTCAATAAATCAAAGTTTCTATGCGTGGTCAACCCTTCAAAGAAGAGAATTTAGAATCTTAATAGGTAATTCTACCCTAAGACTGATCAAACAACTCTGCAAATTTGTTGAGCTCCTTTCAAACATTCAAACGATTCAATTACAATTTTCTGAATATTTAGATCTTTTCAAGACAATTATCCTCTTTGAAGAGTGTATCGTTTTGAAGTTCCAATTTTATGGGTCACTGGGTAGGTCTAGGTACATCTTTTAATTTCCCCTTTCGCAAAATTTCAGGAAAGTAAATGTTTCCTCGTTTATATGTTCAGGTGTCCTTCGCACTTAGAGTACGAAAGAGGGAAGGGGTGGGGGAGGGAGGGCAAAAGAATAGTCGATATGTTATATTTATTTTATCTACGACTAATATATAATGTGACGATTATTATACTTATGGTTTTTTCCGTATAATGCCATATAATGTCAGCTAACGGTGTTGTTAAGACATGTGATTCGATGTAGACAATGCGCAATGCTAATTACGAAAGCATTTAAAAAACTTTTCATATGTAGACACTTCAAATAAAAATAAAACTAATGCCCATTTCAAAATTTTTTGTATTTGTATACGCTCCACTATATTTTTCATTAAACTGTATAGACTTCGACGATAGGCGGCTCATTTGAAAGAGAATGGGGTAAGGATCTCGTGCCTACCGGTATTTTTTCCTGGTACTACCATGGATATTATTAGTAGGAAAATGCGCTCTGCGTTTGCATAATGACATTTTAAACCTATTGTTAGGTTTATCTTTATTCCAAATGCATATGAATAAAATTTCATTTAAATGCTTTCATAAATAAGAAAGTAGGCATTGCGCATGCGCAAAACAACATTTTGAATACGTCATTAATTTTACTTATATTCGTAGTGTTTACATTTAAAGTTTCATTTAAATATCTTCATAAATAAAAAAGTTAGCATTGCATATGCGTTAATCCAAATGTTTGACACTGCGCATGCGTAAAACCAAAAAATATCGGTATGCACGGAATCCTTGGACCAAGACCTTTCAAATGAGCTTAATATCGACCAAATCGGTTCAATGGTGTAGAAGGAGTACGTGTGACAGACGGACGATAAAGTGCAGCCAATAGCGATTTTTCACTTTGAGGAAAATACGCTAACAACAGAACAAATTGACGTTTGTATCAACATCCATCTTTATTTATTATCTTGTTGTTATGTGTTATTGCTTCAGTTGTTTGAATTAGTATATTGTTAAACCTAAAAAATATAATGAAAAAATTGGACACACTTTACATTCCTAAAAGAAGGCACTGGAATAATCTTTTTATATGGGTTTGAAATCCGATGTGTGTGTGTAGTGTTCGAGCATTCATTGAAACGCATCGCATGTGAATTTTCCCAAAAATCAATGTTTGGGCAAGTAACCTTGGGAATCAAATTATCGGGCCGATATTTTATTTTGCCTTTATTTTTGAGTGGGCGGGGTTTCAGCCAAGGCTGCTCTACCAACCCAGCCCACTATACATTTACAAATATTCATGCCCTAGCCCGGATTCAAACTAGGGACCCTTAGCTGAATTGGTAGCGCCGTAGCGGGGGTGCCATGCTGACAGGGTGACAGAATTATTACATTCCCTCAGTGAATGGTGAACGAACAAAAGCTATGCAGAAATGATGCAGGCACAGGGATGAACCAGGTATAGCCTTCGTTGGTGTCATTGTGTCAATTATTAGAGTTTTTATCCAAAACAAGTATTGGTGTCCAAGAGGGCAATATCCAATTAGAAATTTATGCTGTATGAAAATTGCTTTTCACTAATTTCGTTGAGAAAGTGACCAAATTCAATCCTATAACGTTACGAAGACTTTCTTGTATAGTGCGTTGAGTACACTTCTATCCCATATTCGTTTGCATTATAGAAGAGCCAACGTTTGCGCATTGTATTTACACTTACTTACTTTGTACCTGTTTCGATACGAATGAATACGGTGTTAAATGCTGCGTGAGAATTTTTGGAGCTATTAGAAAAGCAAAACAAATAATACCGTAAAATCTAAAAATTAACGTCAACTTCCTGCTTAATTTAATCGTCCAGTCGAACAAAAATATAAATACATCCATTGGATGGCATAAAAATAACACATTAATTAAGTCTCGTTCCCGCCACAAGAAATGCCGAGAGGAATTTCTCCTCTCCTACAATCAATTTCTATCAAGGTACTTGCGCGTAACCGAAGTGCAAGTCTATTGGCAATATTGCAACTGATCAATGAAACCTTTTTTAGCAATATTAACAGATAGGTACCTGATTTAATTTGTCAAAGAAACATATTGTAAAGTTGGCACAGTTTTGACTGGATTTTTAATATCCTTTGCAAATATTTTATCTGTATGTAGCTTTCTCTTCCTGGCATTCAATTCAGTTCGTATTTTTTCGTGTAGTGCTGTACTTACCCAGTGGCTTGATCTGATTCTGAATTCCAAATGTGCTTTAGTTAAATTGCTAATGTTGTTGATTAAATTAATAACATTCTCATTCAATTCGTCTCGCCTCATCCCTAGTGGTTGGAAGTTATGTTCAAAATCAATATCGTAAGAAACCCTTCATTTCTCTTGCACAGTAGCTTAGGCAACTTTTTAATCACTTCTGTATGATTTACTGTCTCGACAGAACGTTTTTTTTTTTTTGTGATTACTGTTCCCATTGAGTACCTATACAAAATTGATAAAATCCTTCACTCAACCAAAGATCATACTCAACGCTGTTACCGATGTTCAGTAAATTGTTGAATGTAATTTATGCACAAATAACAAATTATGCATTTGTACATATTTACTATGTGCTTTGAATATAAAGATATTCAAAGCTATGTGTCATATCTAAGTCTAATTTTCTATTGTACCCTACGAGTAAATGACCTATATATACATATATATCATTGTATATCCGGTCAATATTGCAAAACCGGACATATGCAGTTAACAAAGGGAAACGTTTTCCTGCAGATTGTTGCTCCCTATGTCAACTATTAGTTTTCTTTTTCAAAAAACACGATTGTTATTGATATAATATAAGTACCTAATATTGGAGCGTACTTCGCCGCGCCGCGCTCCACCGCGCGTAAGTGCGCGTCAGCCTTAAATAACAAGAACGAATCGAAAGTGCGTCTTCACACTATAGTCTAGGCAGGCGATAGAGACTGTAAAATTGGCAACCTGGACATTTTGAGGTGGAAAAGAAAAAAATGGTGGAATATGTTCAGTTAGGTGTCAAAAATAACATATTAAAAATCCCACCCTCCAGACCCTTTGCTAAAGGCTCCAGCCACCCCACCATCCCCCAAAAACCGTGTTTTCGCTCTTTTTGGCTGATATCTCGCGATCTATGAGGTCTATATGAAATATTTTTAGCTGAAAATATTTCTCGGGAAATTTCATACAAGGTAGATACTCAGAAGTTAGCCTAGGTGTACCTCTTAGCCTAGGAAATTCATAAAAGAGGCGAAAATCATCAATTTTCGTGACTTTGCAAATATATCGCGACCTTTAGGGCTAGATGAAATATTTTTAGCTGAAAATATTTCTCGGGAAATTTCATACAAGGTAGATACTCATAAGTTAGCCTAGGTGTACCTCTTAGCCTAGGAAATTCATAAAAGGAGGCGAAAATCATCAATTTTCGTGTTTTTTTGCGGTTTTTTGCAAATATATCGCGACCTTCAGGGCTAGATGATATACGTTTAGCTGAAAATGCTCTTCGTGCAATTTCATACGAGATAGGTAACTGAAGAGTTTGCGTAAAGTCACCTTTCACCTTCAACTTTCATGTGTGAGGAAATATTCATTGGAAAACAAAATATTTCTATGTACCATTTATTCACGTAAAAACAGTACCTATTTTATTTTCATATTAAAATATTCACACATTCATTTATAGCTCAACGTAATCATTACCCTTATACTTATCCAAATCAATTCGTACTTTTTCGATCAGACTTCTCAATCAAAAAATCAAAAGTTATAGACTAGAAACCAATTTGAAAAAAAATTCAAAGGGCTGTAACTTTTGAACTAGCAGCCCAATCTTGGAACTGTTTGAAATTATGGATTCTACAGGCCACATTCTATAAGAAAATTTTTTTTCCGGGTCGATCTGAGAATTTTTTTTTCGGGGCTCAAAAAAGGCAGTGTAGAATAACCTTCCTTTTTTACCAAAAATCTACTACACCAAAATTTCTCGGGAAAACACTTTTTCTTATTAATTTGGATGCGTAGAATCCAAATCAATTCATACTTTTTCGATCAAACTTCTCAATCAAAAGTTATAGACTAGATGCAGATTCCACTGCTTCAGGCTCTTCGACGTTCTCTAGTGGTAGTGGGTGATCTGAGATTACCGACTCGTAGTTCTCGTCTTCCGCTTTACCTGATGCATGGGTACCCTGAAGAGACGACGTGGCATTTAGGCACGATGCTCCATGACACTGGACGCAGAGTTCATTACACTTCAGACCTACAACAAGAAGCATTATGTCAAAAAAATGTTTATAATTATATGTATACGATTACCTATAATATTCTCTCGTGTGTCCTAAGTGTCCGGTAGAGAAGGTTTACCTGATTTCCTGCAACTGTTTCAGAAAATCAGGTAAACCTTCTCTACCCGACACTTAGGAGTTAGGACACACGAGAGAATATTATATTCGTATACTTAATTATAAAATTTTTTTGACATAATACTTCTTGTTGTAGGTCTGAAGAACGAATTCTGCGTCCAGTGTCATGGAACATCGTGCCTAAATGGGACGTCGTCGTTTCAGGGTACCCATGCAGGTAAAGGGGAAGGCGAGGAGAACTACGAGTCGGTACCTAATTTCAGACGACCCACTAGCACTAGAGGACGTCGAAGAGCCTGAAGAAGTGGAATCTGCAGAGGATAGTGATTACGTTGAGGTAGGTATAAATGAATGTGTGAATATTTGAATATGAAAATACTGTTTTTACGTGAATAAATGGTACATAGAAATATTTTGTTTTACAATGAATATTTCCTCACACATGAAAGTTGAAGGTGAAAGGTGACTTGACGCCAACTCTTCAGTTGGAGCATTTTCAGCTAAACATATATCATCTAGCCCTGAAAGTCGCGATATATTTGCAAAAAACCGCAAAAAAACACGAAAATTGATGATTTTCGCCTCCTTTTATGAATTTCCTAGGCTAAGAGGTACACCTAGGCTAACTTCTGAGTATCTACCTTGTAAGAAATTTCACGAGGAGCATTTTCAGCTAAAAATATTTCATCTAGCCCTAAAGGTCGCGATATATTTGCAAAAAGTCACAAAAATTGATGATTTTCGCCTCTTTTATGAATTTCCTAGACTAAGAGGTACACCTAGGCTAACTTCTGAGTATCTACCTTGCATGAAATTTCCCGAGAAATATTTTCAGCTAAAAATATTTCATATAGACCTCATAGATCGCGAGATATCAGCCAAAAAGAGCGAAAACACGGTTTTTGGGGGATGGTGGGGTGGCTGGAGCCTTTAGCACAGGGTCTGGAGGGTGGGATTTTTAATATGTTGTTTTTGACACCTAACTGAACATATTCCACCATTTTTTCTTTTCCACCTCAAAATGTCCAGTTAGATGTCTTTATCGCCTAGACTACTAGGCGACTTAGCAGCGCGACTACGCTACTGTAAAGGTAAATTCTCACATAAGCGACGCGTAGCAGTGCAACATTCCCTGTTTCCAGAAGTTTGCTTGCTTTTAAATGGCGTAATCTCACGATAGCAACGAGTCAAAACCTAACTGTCGGCAGAGCGTTGTATGCCGCGTCGCTACGGTGGCGCTGCTATGTGCGAATTGAAAAGCGGCATTTACTGCTGCCGCGGTGACGCATACATGCGCACTAAATTATTTTATTGACAATAATTGTTGAAAAAGGCCAGTGTAAAATAAAAGATCTAATTGTTGCTGTGAAACACTATCCGAACTTTTATACTATTCGAGTAGACGCTCAGTTTCGCTTTCAGAAAAACGCCACCTATAAACTAATTGCAATCAGTATTTCCTCTTCTTTCTTTTTTTACTTCACTGACATTCCTAAAGCAAGCATTTCATCATCAGTAGATGAACTACTCGATGAATCCGTGTTTTAAAACTGAAATGAGGCAGGCCGTTTATTCCCTCACCAAAAGGACAATCGTCGCGTTGATTATGTGAGAGTTGAACCTAAAATTGACGCGCAGCCTCCTATCTTGGTAAGGCGTAAGAAAGAAGGGCGGTAGTGGGTCAAAAGCAGATCCTTTTGTTGAGACCTTTAATTAGATAATACCATGAAAAATTGTTGTGTAACAAATAGAATGTTTTTTTAATTTTGTGTTACTTTCAATGTTTAGTGGGCATTGCCTATTGCATTGCAGCAACCGCGATGTGCCGCCAGACAGCGGTGCTAGCATCGCTACTTAGCCGCCTAGTGTGAAAGGTTTTAGCGGTCGCTGTTGCTCTTATCAGTATATGTAGGCTTCCATATAAACCAATGCTCGTCAACAGCTCTGCTAAGTCGCCTAGTGAGGAGTACTAACTTGTAAGTTGTAACGCAATCCGATTTGCTTATATAGTAAAGTCGAGTGTTTCCGAGTGTTCGCGACAATACGTCACATTCCTCGAAAAGATTACGTCACACCTGCCTTTGTTTTTTTATCGTCTATAACTAATCTTTAATGGCGCCTCGAAGTCTATCGAAATTTCTGGAGTGTTCGCTACAATATGTTTTTTTTTGTAATAAAGAAGCAAAGGAAGTTGAAAATGCAATAGATTAAACATTTTCATAAAGAAAATAGTCCTCATAGTGTTCCGATAAACATTGGCGTAGCTAGCTTACAAATTTAGGGGGTGCTAAAGTTTACAAGAACGTTTGAATACATAATACGGCGCCAGTGTTCTGATAGTAAGTAGTATTGCACTTAATATGGAAACCGATCAAGTAATTGTGACCTTTTGGACATACTGTATACGACATCCAACAATGACGTAACGTAGCGTAGCGTGGTAGGCGTACAATTGCACTCCTAAGGTCAGATTCACACTGCACACGATTCACATTTCAGTTATTCTTATCACTTCAATAGAAGCGGTGTGCGTTTGTCTCTAACGGGCTGCTATTGTTTTGTTATACAATTTTTAATTAATGCCCCAAATTTTCTAACAAGTTCTTCACACTTTTCTATTATAAATTACAGTAAAATGCCTGGAAAACCCAAAAAAGCCTGCATTGTGGGAAGCGGTAATTGGTAAGTTAACCTAAAGAGCAATCCTTTTTTTAAAGTTCACTGGAATGCAACTAGTTCCTTTAACGTTAATCCTTTCTTAGGGGTTCCGCAATAGCTAAAATTGTGGGGAATAATGCAGCACGTCTTCCTCAATTCGATGATCATGTCACTATGTACGTGTACGAAGAGATGATAAATGGAAAGAAATTGACGGAGATTATTAATGAAACACACGAAAATGTGAAGTATTTGCCGGGTCACAAGTTACCTTCGAATGTGGTGAGTTATCTAGCCGATATAATAATGTGAAATGATCAATAACACTCTGTTTTTATTGTAATTTATTACTATGACATTAAACTTGGCATTACACCAGCAGACCTGCAGGTGAATAGTGGATATTAAACAAGTACGTAAGTACGTACACAGTATTTTCAATGCAACTGCATTCTGGCAGATAACTACATTTTCCAGCAATAGTTAGCACATCATTGTTCAAAACTGTATTTATAGTTCAGTGGCCTGAAATGATGCGGATTATGTAACTGACATGCTACATTGGGAGAATTCAAGAAGCTATTGTTTCTTGCAAATGGTTATTAAGGCTCCTATGTAGTAAACATCTAAAGTTTCAAATAGACCTATGCATAGGCGGTGTTATTTTTATATCTGTTGACACAGCATGCTATTAGATGGTGTAGTACCTACCTAATTGTAAGGGTTTCGTTACATTGATGTAAATAAAACATTTAAGTAAGTAAGGATTGATTGCCAGTTTATACAATGTTTTGGCACTGTTGATAACTTTATTATTGAAGCTGCAAAGTTTGTGAAATTAGCAAACATGATCTTCACATATATTGAAAGAAAATTAAATTTAGGATAGCTCTAATACATAATCACTCAAAGAATTAATAACCAAGATGCAAATGATACATTAAATGTAAATTACACACTCAATAAAAAAAATATGGAAAAATAACAGTAACTGACCAATATGATGCTCTCAATCCTTGCAAAAAGCAAAGTTTTAACGATTTTTTAAATTTAATCTTTAATGTTATTTTTTGAACCCCATGTACATATGATCAAAATATCAACACAGCCCTTTTCTAAAAGGAAACCAGTTTTCATATAGAAAAAATTGGCAATTAAGTATGATTTGGTCTATAATAGTTATTTATGCATCAAGGGCATTATGGCGATATTTATGCCGAGGGCGACAGAGCCCGAGGGTTAAATATTGAGTAATGCCTGAGGTGCATACAACATTTTATTTTTCATCGTTCCAAAGAATGCATTTCCAATATACAAATGTCATGATTATTGTTTGCCCAACATTAAAGTGATTCATACGAATCAAGTTGCATCTTTTTTATTACATAATATAACTCCGTCAATCAATTTGACAGGCCGTTTGAGGGCATAATGAGATGACAATCCATTATGCCCTCTCATTATGCCCTTGGGCGTAATAGACTGCTTCATATATCACATATGACAGATATAATTGACATATAATACGCAAATGAAAAATAAATGTCATTTATGACATAAAAATGAAAATAGGTATGTCAAAAAGGACTAAGTTTAGGTATATATGAGGGTATATACCTACACCAAATGTATACAGAAATAGAAGATAAATGAAATAATATGTAAGGTGCTCCATTTAAAATAAGCAAGTTGGCATCCACTTCCAATGTAACTGGAAGTGACACCAACTTGAAAACATTTTCCTATTACTCACATTAGTATACTGTCAAATTTTCATAATCATTCGAGGTCTCTCTCTTGAGATGTAGATATCCGCCATTCTTCACAAGACACCCTGTATGCATAGTAATTTAATTGGCTTCATAGCTCCAATAATAAACATGGTAGGAAATAAAAGGTCAAAATGTCTGGACATAAGCTTCCCCATCACCGTATACCTCCCCCCTCATGGTACTCATGATACTAAAACGATTTTAATATTTGCACTATGTTGAGCTCGAGGTTGAGCTTCATTTAACGTTCATATCACCCATAACGTTTCTCCGAAAGATCCTTTGGACAAAAAATATTGAAAAGCTTGTTGGTTGAAATATAATGCTTTAATCATTCCGAGAATCATTCTATACAGAAAAAGATCAAGAACAAATTCTGACCCCCATGCAAGTGAAACAGTAGTTTTTTCGTGTTGGTGTGCTACGTTTAAGAAACTTTTTACACAGATTTCGCTTACGACTAAAGAAATGGAGTCGTTTTCGAAGGTGGATATATTAAAACATTTTTCTATGTTACTTTCTTGTTCGTGTCAGTCACAAATGAGAAAATTCTGTTTGCCATTTGAGTGAATATAGAATACTAAAAAGGCAAATTTAAAAAAGCTAAAACTTTTCATCAACAGATCTTTTCAATATCCATATTTCTGAATCTATTCTTAAGATTCTTTTCAACGAAAATTTCTGTTGACAAAAGTGTTTTTTTTATAAAATACTAAAAAGGCAAAGTTTAAAAAATTTTAAAAAAGTAAAAAAAACATTTTTCATCGGTAGCATACAGAATTTGAACTGAAAAATAATTTGTTCAATTCGAAATTATTATTTGAACGAGTCTGGGCCCAGGTGTTTTAATAGCATGTAACTCCAGGCTCTTTAGATTTTAGAGGCAAGTAATTTTTGACAAGCTATGACCTGTGCTTCAAAACTTTGGTCGGAACAATTTGGAATTGAATTTGATTTGGAGTTCTGAAAAATTGCATTTGGAGTTTTTTTCACCACCCGAAGGGGGGTGGGGGGTATTTCAGAGCTGGAATTTTATCAAAATGTGTCCCAAGTCAAGCAACTAAGTTAACCTGTTCCCCCATATTTCTGTGAGTTGGGCCACTGAGTCAACAACTAAAAAATAAACACAAATTGTGGGAGTTTGTGTTTGGATTTGGTTTTTATAATAATTTAATAAATCTCAATTTCACATTTTTTAAATTTTCCATTGTACAGCGTGTCCCAAATCCAAGGGCGATCATTGGGATCTCGGAAACCGTGAGAGATACGACGTCAGTTAATTGGAGACAATGTTTCGCATTTTTGGGTTGAACCTAGTACTGCTTAATAAATAAAGGAATTCAGAATAATTTCGGAGGTTATCAGAAAAAAACGGAATTCGCTAATTTTCTTTTTGTGGTGAAGACTAGGAGTCGAGCTAGGAGTTTTGTAGTTTCATTATAAAACCAACCCTGACGCCCAAACATAATAATATTATTTAAGCTAAAGAAAAATTCCCAAAACATTAATCCAATTGCACAATTTGCAATTTCTAATAAGGTAATTGAATTGACGTGCAAAATTACTACAATAAAAAAATCTCATGCCTCTCACAACAAATTTTCCCCTAAATACAGCCCTTATCTCAATTATTAACCTATTTTCTAACATTCTAATAAATTGACAAACGAGTAAGTCAAAACCATCACCCTACTACTACACTACAAAAGATACATTTACCTATATTTCCGAATCAAACACACACACTGCATGCCACCACTATTCTGCGGTTTCTGCTAAAACATCCCCACCTTCTTTTTCTCTTTTAATGAAATGCATAAAAGCGGGAACGATAAAATTCAAAATTTTCCAGATACAGTAACCACAAAGGTAAAATCAAAATTTGGAAATTACAGGCTCGTTTAAGAAATACGGGGAAAATCAAAAATTTTCAATTTCAAAATACCCTATATTTTATTAATTGATAGACATACAGAAAAATGTTTATTACAAAAGATTCTTTATAGTGATTCTTGAATAATTTTCCGTTTTCAAAGTATATGGGGTCACAAAAACGTTATCCGACCCGACCTTAATCTAAAAAGCGTATTAAATCCTCCCTTTAAAAATATAATACACCAGGGACGATATTCAAAAACGAATTAAGTGATTAAAAAAATCAAAGAAGGTTCAAAAAGATTTAGAAACAACAAAAAAGTTCAAATGATTGAAAAAACTACAAAAAAAAATAAAAAAAGGTTTTTGGATTTTAAAATTTTATTTTAAATATTTTTTAATCAATATTTGTTGTGCCATAATTTTGAAAAGAGAATTAATATGAAATTAAAATATACAGGGTGTTCCCTTTAAAAAATGTTTTGAAAACTGCAGATTATTCAACAATTATAAAGAAACTTTTGTAATACACATTTGTATAAATTTTAACTAAAAAAATTAAGGGTCATTTTGCGATATTGATCCATGGTTAACTAGCGATATGGCGATAACTGTCATATATCAATCCCTATGGCTATTTTGATAATTATCACATCGATAAGTACAATATATCGATAGGTGAAAACAATTATCACCCATCGCTAGTCGTGACATACCTACTTACTTAATCTCTTAGTTCAACTTGTAAAACAAACATTGTATTAGCGCAAACTTCATTGAACCCCAGGACTTGAATATCTTATATAGGTACCTATTTTACAGAACCAAAGAAATTTTGTATTGTCGATATTTAATAAGTGCGATTGTATCAGCTTTTTTGTTGTGTTAATTTATGATGGTTAAAATGGAAACTCTAATGTTTCAGAAATAGTTCAAGCCCCCTTGTTTTTTGTGTAAATTTTACTTGAATGTCATGTTAGGGTGGTAGCATTTAGTAACTATGCAAGTGTGATGCAATTGTATTTCAGAACGACAAGCTCTTTCAGAATATTAAAAGCAAGTGCGTTTTTTAAAAAATAAAGTTGATGATGGCTCCAAAAAAAACTGCAAAGTTGTACTTAAAATGTAATCATGCCAGCTTGTAGGGTAGAAAAATTGTCATTTCGGTATTTTTCTCTCCTGTCGGCTCTAAAGTGTTCAGAATTCCTTCACTTTGCCCTACTTTAATCTTCATTGTACCCTAGACAAATAGTGTACCCAACAGGGTTGAAAAAAAAATGTTTTTTATAATTTTATTGTGTTAGTTCCAGACTTTACACTCTCACTGTGTGATAATTATGTAAATATTAGTTTCAGTTAGTTTCAATGTTCAGAAGGCAGATAGATTACAAGACGTTTAAGTAAATAATTGATAGCTGTTATCGCATACAATGGTTCTATCTGTGAAAGATATTTAAATACACGCACCAAATAGGTACAAAATTGGATTAAGCACTTGTCCATTAATGTTAGCGTTTGAAACAATTTTATGATCTTTTAAATTGGTCATTCATCGTTATCACCAAAGATAATGATAATGGCTTAATAAGGTTTCAATTTATTGCTCGAATTGCAAAACAAAACATAAAATGAAAATGTACCCATTTTGTTTTTTTTTTGTATATGATTCGAACATAACAGTAGGTAATAATAATAGCGGCTATTACTACGAAAATATGTGAGAGATAAAAAGTTACTATAATATTTAGTTTTATTGCAGACCGATCACACAATATAATAGGTTTTAAGCTAAGCTTAGCAAATTGTTCGGTGCAAATGGCCATTAGTCGCTCTTTAACCGTGAGGGTAGATAAAGTGATCACTTTCACCGTTATGGTAGATAAAGTGAAACAGATGATTGTGCATTCTAATTACATCTGTCAATCTTTTTCAAATGTCACGTGGAGCACGATACAAAATGACGTTCAGAGAATGTATGACAATGCTGTTACTATGGAAATGACCGCGACGGCAAAACCTAAGCTTGCTATTGTTGACGTCTAAATTAAATTAAAAATTGTCAGAAGCTTTACATTGATTTATGTGTATTCTGCTATAAAATTAACGGAAACTAACCATCTCGTGAAAGTTAATTCACTGGAATGGTTAAAATAGCCCTTTATCGTCTTATATAATAAATAACTATTTTTGGGAAAACTTTAGTTGCTTCTTACGGAAGAAAACAAGACATGCCTTCAATAAGTAATTGATACTTGACTTTAGAGTAAATTTGTTTTAGCTTGTCCTCTATTAAACTAAAGAAATATCATTTGTGTGGTGATATGCAATAAATTAGTGTTCGAATTATTTTTTACATTAGTGCAGGATCCAATTCTGCTATGGAATATTCATTTTTGCACTAACGCAACATTCCATTTGCACTTCCTGCAGTCTGTATTTTTACACCTTTAATTCTGTTGTTTTAGATAAATCTTGGCACGTGAAATTACCTTGATCTATAGCCCTTCTCCTTGCCTTAGATTGTACCTACTTCGTTGTAGTAAACACAAACACATTTATTTCTGTTAACCATTTATCCACAATAGCCTCTAGAATTCCATCTACAACAAATACTTTTATTTAAGAATACCCATTATTGTCATGGGGCACTTAATTTCATTCATTCATATGACATCACTAAACACATTTACGTATTCATAGACCTTTGTGCTATTTAATTCGCAATTACTTTTCATGCGGATAATATGCTTTATGTAAATTATTGTAGTTACAATTTAATGCTCCCTAAATGAATTGCACAGTTGATTGATGACATAACCACATCTATTGAAAAATTTAAAAAAATTACGGTATATCCTACACTGTAAAATTGTGTACTTCCCTTTCTTTAAACTCCTATAATGACTACGACAAGTTGAAATAAATAGCAACTGTGAACTTTTGGCAACAGTCCCAAAAAATGCAGTTCGTCTGCGCATTTGAAGGTCTTTCATCGCCATTTTTCTATTATAGGTATCGATAGGTTTTGTCAAACATGATGTGATCATATAATTAAAATTGAGATTAAAATGAAAATGATGCAATTACATAAAAGCTTTGTAATCAGTTATGAATTATGAATGATAAAAGGAGATATCTTTGCAACAACGGTTATCTATTTGTTGAATATATTTATGCGGGAAACATTGCAAAATGTTCTACAGTAGATATATGATTTGTCAATATATAGTGCCATAATTTGTAGTGTAGATGGTGTTATGTCGTAACTGTCTTTTTTTAATAAACATTTTTGAATTGTGAATTAATTTATCGCCATGGAAATAAGTTAAACATTTTAAAATTTCAAGGCAAAGAAATAAACAAATAATTAAATACCACATTGATGACCACTTACTGTAATTGGGCGTCTGTCGTTATACCAAATTGTAGCAAATTTAATGCAAATTGGAGAACACAAACGTTTGTTATTCCAAGATCCATTAGTGTGAACATTTTGTTCAGTGCCGGCTTTAGGCGTAAGCGATGTAACACGCCGCTTACGCCGCAGACAAGAAGGGGTGCAAAAATTTTACTTTAATGACTTACGGACGAAGGACGTAAAAATCCGTACACGAATTCCTAAATAGCAAACATGTTATCCCTTCGGAAAACTTTGTACAACTTTGTTTTTAAAAAAAAAATGTGAGAACACAATTTTAAACCTACAAAATAACTTGCATCGTCTAAAACGCCTCGTTTTCGTTATACAGGGTGGCAAAGAATATGTAACACCCTGTATAATACCGCAACCAACTATTTTGATACTTTATTGTAGAGATTCTCAAAAATAATTGAGGTATCAAATTTGAAACAATTATCAGAGAATATAAGAGAGAAAGCGCAAAATACGAGATAAAAATTGAAACTTTGTCATCCTGTAAGTATAATGAAATTGAAGCCCTTTAGACCACGCACAGATCTGCATTTTTTTTCTTATTTTAACGCCTTGAAATATCTGCATATAGGTACTCTTTGGCATGACATTAATTAACACCCTATATTTTTAAAAATATCCTTGCGAAAAGTTCCCATTATTCAGGTTTTAGCGAGGAGGGCAGAGGCGCAAATTTTAGTGCTTGCTGACACGCAACTTTTGCCTTGAGCCGGTCCTGATTTTGTTGTCCTACCTCTCTTACGATTCCAAATATTTTTAGGAAAACGTCGAGGAAAATGGTTACTTGAAGGACTCTGCTTAAATCACCTTTATGTTTGCTGATGTGAAGCAATAACAATAATTATTAGTAGTATTGTTGTGTATTATTTAATTAATTAATTGTAGATGTTTTAGGTAGCCGTTCCGGATGTTGTTGAAGCTGCAAAGGAGGCAGACATTTTAATATTCGTAGTTCCACATCAATTCATACGAACATTATGTTCTACACTTTTAGGTAAAATAAAGCCTACAGCGATTGCGTTATCTTTGATTAAGGTAAAGGTTAACATTTGCAACTATGCAAACAAATTGTTGACATGTTTTTGAAATTTGGACTTGATGTAAAGAAAGTGGTTAGATATTTTAAAAGTATCTAATGCAAATGTATGATATTGTTACACGCTGATTTTTTCTTATTTGGCACAAATTAAAGAATTAATGGAGAAAAAGATAATACAACCCAGAGGATCAGTACTAAAAATTATAGCAAATAAAATAAAAACCTTAGCAGTCGAAGTCGTACTTAACAAAAAAAAAATGCAGGGTGTTCCTGTTCTTTATTTTTTGAATTTTTCTGATCCTTTATGGTCATTAGATTCTTTCTTTTTTTAAATTTTTTCAACTTATCCTATGTTTATTATTCTGCGGTCTAAACTTTATTACTTTATTCATATCAATCCTCATTTTCTATCATAGACAACTATATCATATTTTTGGATTCTTTAATTATACTTCGGATTTATGGGATTCAACAGAATATTCAAATTCTTTAACATTTTTCAATTCTTAAATACCTGGGCCTTTAAGAATTCTTTATATCCATCATATTCTTATATTTTTTTTCGATTTTTCAATTTCTTCTGATGCTTTTCTACTCACTTATTCGAATTTTAAAATCTTTGAATTTTTTTGAATTCTACTTTGTTCTGAAACTTCTTAATCTGACGAACACTTGTCCATACTAATTCAGTGCAACAATGAATTTCCAAATCGACCCAAGAACAGCCGTGTTTATTTCCCATTTTTCTTACTTAAAGGTGAAACCTCCTCCAGTCATAAGTTCTATATCGTTGTTGCCCGCCGTCGCTTGCTATTCCCACCACCATCGCCTGAATTCCAAACACTTGCATTCCTTATCTTGAATGTGGCGTTGTTAGTAAACAATGCCAATTAATTAGTCCAATAACGTCTTTTTACAAAACACGTGAAATCACGATTAAATAAATTCCCTTATTTATGCGTTCCAAAATGTATGATACTTATGGCCGTTTGCACTGACAATTTTAAGTGGAGCTTGCTTAGCTTAAGCGTAGTTTAAAATCCATTGCAACGATTATTGAGACAATGGTTGCCATGGACTTTAGGCTACGCTTAAGCTACGTTGTGCTTAAATTTGTCGGTGCAAACGGCCATAAGTACAACAAATACCATTAAATGACTTAAACAATTTCTAAATTTACAATTACAAAAAACTAACACTAAAATAACAATTAAACAAATTTTCCAATTCTGTGTCTATTTGAAAGAAATATTGGGGATATTTCCTATCTAATACATTGAATCATTTTACATACAGGATGTCCCAACTGCTATTTCCAATGCATAAACCGGAATTATGTTAACAAACCGTACATTTTTCACTACGCTCTCATCTTTGGCTTTGTTTCAATTTAGAGAAACGACACCCCCCTGTAGTTTGCACAACAATATGAAGTTGATCTAAAAAAATAATCAACAAATCAATCGATCCACTTACATAATGGAAAAAATAAAAAAAAATATTTAGCTTTTTAATCAACTGTACTATATTTATAGGGCTCTTCAAAATACCCAGGTGAGTCACTTTGATTTTTGTAGTACAGTAAAGTATGATTTTGGTCTATTCACCTTGATTCAAAAATGATACCATTTACCTCAATGTTGAAATTTAGGGCCACTCCGCTCAAACCGGAAGTGATAAATAACTATTATTTCAAGCATTAAAGTAATTTTAACAGAAATTTTGCTAGCATTCATTGATTCATTTAGTAGGTACGCTACAAATGAAAAGTAGAGTGAAAACAGTTTTTATCTTGTTAGGTTATTCTTCCTGTTATTAAGACGCGTATTTTGTTAGGGTCTCCTGAATAATTTCAAATTTTGGTTGGTAACACAGGACCTTGGGTAAATTCTATTCCAAGAGAGCGTCAAATTCTACACATCAAAAGATTTAAAGTTTCACTCCTCCATTTCATATAAACTATTAACCTTACGCCTTTAATTTTTTCTTAAATATATTTTGAAGTATTTTTATTTGAGCAGTAGTGCCTAACTCCAACCCAAATGGGGCATATTCATAAATTTCAAAAACATGTGAATGATTTACTAATTTATTTTGGAATTTCAACAAGTTGTGTTGCTTTTCTTATGTGTTTGGTATGCGGATTATAGGGATTCGATCAAGCTGAAGGAGGCGGAATTGAGTTAATATCACATATCATCAAACGCCAGCTGAAAATAGAATGTGCTGTTCTAATGGGCGCCAATTTAGCTGGAGAGGTCGCAGATGAAAAGTTTTGCGAAACGACAATCGGCTGTAAAGATTCACGCATGAAACCAGTTTTACGAGATCTTATACAAACAGAATATTTCCGAGTTGTTGTTGTTGACGATGAAGATGCGGTAGAAGTTTGCGGGGCTTTAAAAGTATTCGATTTTAATTAAAAAAAATTTTATTCATGAAAGAAAATTTCAGAACATTGTCGCTTGCGGTGCAGGATTCGTTGACGGTTTAAATTTGGGAGATAATACAAAGGCGGCAGTAATTCGATTAGGTTTAATGGAAATGATTAAATTTGTTGACTTGTTTTATCCTGGCAGCAAACTGTCCACTTTCTTTGAGAGTTGCGGCGTTGCAGATCTTATTACCACATGCTATGGGGGACGTAACAGAAGAATTTGTGAGGCATTCGTCAGAACTGGCAAAAGTATAAAGGAGCTGGAAGACGAACTGCTAAATGGCCAAAAGTTACAAGGTCCATACACAGCGGAAGAAGTTAACTTTATGCTCAAAACTAAAAATATGGAGGACAAGTAAGTGTTGATGACTTCAGCAGGAAGTTACCTAATTCTGTTGTTACAGATTCCCCTTGTTCACTGCAATATTTCTTATCTGTACTGGAAAAATTGATGCGAAAGAACTGATCAACTGTATCAAAAATCATCCCGAGCATATGTAAGTTGATAGCTACATTACTGTTGAAAGTATGCATGCGGTACCGTTATTGCCATTGTTGAAATTTTAATGTATGATTTATTACTCCTATCTATAACATTACCTGAGGTTGTTGCACTGTTCCTTTAGCAATAACGATATTAGTTTCCTGCTTTCTGCTGAGTACAATGCTTTTAAACAGATTTCCAGATTCTGCAATATTAAAGTAGGTACATATTATGATACACAACGTGTAGATTACACAGTTACATTATTTTCAGTACAAAACACAAACATATGCAAGGGTACTGTGCGACTCCATTATGCACCTTTTGCCTACTCAACAAGGCTTTAAAAATTGTTTGTGAAAGGGCACTCTCAATTACGTTTTCCTACTGAAGCTGCCCATTTGATTATTACAGGGAGTAGCATACTATTCGATGTGAAAGGGGGCTCAATAGTAGTCAGTGTGGCACCCCATTCTCGCCTCTAAATGAGATATCGGTGTCAGGTTTGCATTATGTGGTAGCGTGTTTATATTGTAGTTGTTATCTTGATTCCAAATACCACTGTACCATTGTTAACTATTTACTTCATTCTGGCAATACTAAAATTGGGAACCAAAGAAGTAGTAATTCATTGACAGTTTAGAACAATCAGTGTGCTGTGAACATTCAAGAAACTCCCCCTTAGTACCTTAATGTGTACGTAATAGTTTGAAAGTGTTGAAAGTGTACGTAGTATAATTAAGTAAAGTAAAGATTTGAAATGTGTGGTTATAATAACATTAGGAACCAACTAATAAAATGCTAGTCATTCGATGATAATTACTGAAAATAGTATAACTACATAACCAACATCATTACCTTTAACTAGTTAAACTATAATCTGCCAATGAGCATCGAATTAACCTAAATTTTTGCAATCTGGTTGATCTTTTGTGCAGCTTAATAGTAATGTGTTGTTTTCGTTTACAGCTCACCGCTAACAAATATTGCATAGTTGCCTTTTTTGCCATTCACTAGTATTAAATGTGATGGCACGTTTCGTTTAATTTTATACAATTTTTAAAATTGAAGTTTTTATTCCGTTAAGTTTTAGTAGCTTAGACTATATATTATGTTGGTACCTTTTACATTCATTTTATTTTTTTTTCTAAAATGTTGAATTTTACGACATTGTTCCTCAAAACAGCAACATATGTATTTAATTTTTCTTTATCCTAAGTTTTCTTACTTAATTTATTTAAAAAGTAGTTGTCAGTGCTGTTTAAATACAAAAAGTTACAAATTTGTAAAAATATATAAATCGTAGGTAATAAAATATCTTATAATTGTAAAAAGTTTTCAATTTCGGAACAATGGTTCCATGATTAGACTGTGTGTCAAAGGCTGATAAAACTTTATTACATACGATTTAAACTTAGAGCTTATAATTAAACATGGAGCACTCAACAAAATTTTAAAAATGTACCTAATCATATTTATTTTTAATGTAAAAAGTAGAACTGCTGGTTTTTTAATTTGTGATCAGAATTGTTGCTGTTTTGGGAATGTTTTATTTTTGCTCGCAGGCATGTAGAGTAAGATTGATAACATTTGTGCCTTGTTATGTAGTTTAGTAATTGTTTTAATAATACATGTGGAATATTAAAGTATTTAATATGATAAAAATTAATTGTGTTGAAACGAATTATAAGAATTGTGATACGTACTTAATTGCATAAGACAGTCGGTAAATGCTCTATGATGTCTTTACAGTTTTTTAATTTATCTCCCTTAAATACCTGGGAAGTAGCATTTAATTGTCCCTATACATAACTACTCAATATGTATTTTAAAGACTCATAATATTCCATGTGCAGCTTTTTCTTTAGCATCCTTACTACCCCATTAAAGGCTTCCAAGTTTTTTAATTAATAATTTAAATTAACTGTGCAATAACTGTTATAAGCAATCTTATATTGTAATTAATATTTAATTCATGCATGTTAACTTTTCTTCAAGAGGACATATTAGTATATTAAGTTTGTCTCTGTGTTCAATTATCTAATTTGTACTGTTATAATGTTAATATTGTTACGCAGAAAAGTAGTTGTAAAATATTTTTTATGGAAGATTAAAAGATATCTTAATGTTTTAGGTACGTTCCCAAATCAATTTCATATATATAGCAGCCCTGACTTTCCAAACCTTCCCTACAACTGGATCCCATCTATTGCTATATTTAACCTTTATAAATTTGCGAAATATATCTTTTCTAAACCACGACACTGTTTTATATACATTACATTTTTAGCATATGTTACATTAAAACAAACGTGCAACAAATAATTTACAAGCCTATGGTACGGTTGTATGAAATTTTCAACACGTTTTTTCACTGTATTTGTATTTGACTGGAAATATTAATGCAGATTTTAATACATTGTAACACAGTTGCCATGTAACATTGTAACTTCTATTAAATTGGTTGTACGGCAGCTGCTGTTGTGCTGCATTATCCAAAGTTGCATTGCTACTTTTCCGTCCTGCACTTGTCTAATCGCCATATATGTACTTTGTTTTAGGAACACAAAATTACCATCTAGGACAGTGTATTCCAAGCTTTAACGATTGGCGATTTTAAATGCTTTCGAACTGCAAACTCTTTGTGATGCATCTTTAAGCCTGTGCTAATCTTTCTTGAAATACTCTTAAGGTTTTAATTTTTAATATAAGTGTTTTACCTAGTCATATACTTATTGTGTGTGTAACTAATCAGTGTTCCACGAAAAGGTATGTTATACTTTTGATAATTTTATTATCACTTTAATTTTGCCTCATCTTAAGGATTCTGGAAAAAGTATTAATTTGGTATTTTGTTTATAAGTGTACGTCACCATCAAACGTAAAGCATTTTGCATGTGTTCTTAGCACATTTCATATAACAAAAACACGTTAATTGTTTCATGAGATGCTCAGAATTCTATGCTGATCCATGCTTTATTTGAATTTGTAAGAACCAAGTAGTGCTTATGTAGCCTACTTGCGTAACCAATTGTTTGTTAAAACGCATGGTAATATGTTTTCCGTGTTAGAAAATTTGGCATCGAACTTTGAATGCACTTTTTATGATAGTTCCACATTTTACATAAAAACACTAGTACAAGAGCACATATAATTATGCAAGTAATGTTCTAATGTACATAAACATCAGATAATACTGGGTGATACAAGTGTATCTAACTTTACTCATGGAATTATGTGCATAATGTTCATATCATTGACACCTTAACGATTTTTATGTATAAAGCAAGAATGTACTTCCTGCATTAGGTTAAGATTCCATAGCAATAAAAAAAAGTTAAATTGATTTTAATTTTTTTTGTTTCTAGTATAAGTACTTCTCAATATTATTGTTTAACTTATCATTTACTATTGAGAGTATTTTTATGATATGCATGTACTAAAGCAATACAAACGTCGTGTAATTTGGTCCATATCAGTATAAACAGCATTATAATGAAACTTACAAATGATCTAACTAAATTAAACATGTGCGTTTACAAGTTTATTGTGCAATGTTGCCTGCTATATTGAGGTGGACTAAATTGTCTACACACAATAATCAATTTCTGTCCACATAGCATTTAACTACCTATAGTCAACCATGCAACAAGGGAGATTACCAAGTCAATTGTAATATTAATGGCCGTTTGTACCGACAAATTTCAACAGGGCTTAGCTTAAACGTACCTTAAAATTAAAATCCTTGACTATTGTCTCAATAATCGTTACCATGAATTTTAAGCTAAGCTCCGCTTAAATTTGGCAGTGCAAAGGGCCATAAATGTATCAGTTGATAGGTTCGAAGTAATCATGTCCATCAATTGACACTTAGCAGTTACCATTTTTCTTAAAACTAATTTGTTATGGTCTACTTTTTCCAGACGCCTACCTTTACATCGTTTCATCATACTGGAGTTCCTTTATTAATATTTGTTATGTTTTAGGATCACATATGAGGGTGGGGATGATCACTAAGAAGTGTGGAGCCAGACAATTTAGTTCTTGTAATTAGATAAAGGGAATGTGGGAAAATGTATTATTTTAATGAAAACGCTATGGGAGAAACAATTAAATGATTACATCGCTACCATAAAGAAATGGTTGTTTTTATTCTCCTGGTGGTTTTAAGTAATTTGCTGCCATTTTTTTTGCATAGGTGACATGGAACTTGAGTTGTTTAAACAATAAACATACAGCCCTGTGATGTATTAGAAATGTCAAACTTAACGTGCAGGTTATCTGCCGAAAAACGTTATTTGGCGGTATTTAGTATAGGCAAAATGACATTTTGACACGTTATTTTGCGTTATTTACTATATTAAAACAAACTCATTCTGCAAATATTCTCAGAATATTGCTTTTTTGTACTCCGTGTGGAGTATCCTGTTTTGTCTTCCAAGTGTATAATTTTTATCCCGGAAGGAGAAACGCGCGACTAGGGACAAGAAGTGACAGAACACACTGAAATGTCAAACACAATTTATGGTGGATTTATACAATCAATGGGTGCGTTCACCAGAACCAAACGTGTTTGCGCTTTGATTACGTTTGCAAACACAAACTGTTTAGGCGCAGGTGAACGATAAGGTGCGTTTGCCAGAACCAACTGTTTGCAAACCGTTTGCGCTTTTTAGATAAGTACGTTTACTGAACGCGTTGCTAGTTGTTAAACTGTTTGCAAGCGGACGCCATTTTTTGAATCGCATTTTAAACTTGCTGAAAATCACAAACATGTTTGTAATTTTGTAAGGCATGCATATTTGTTTAAACCATCGGCATATAGGTTTATGCGTGAAATTGGAGTAAATTACTAGTACCTATACATCACGACCAAAAATTGGATAATTGCACACAATGCGCTTTAAAGTTGTAAGAGATAAATCGAATAATTTAATTATGAATGAAGAAGAGAGCATTCCATGTATGCAGGCTTATTCAAATTCGAGGGCCACCATGGGGATCTCGGGAACTGTAAGAAATAGAGGTTGGCAAAGTTGAGTAGTTTGATACTTAACAAAATGTCGTTTTGAAACTGAAAAAATTCCGACTACTTTCGGAGATATCCAGAAAAAAAATGACATTTTACAAAATCGTTTTTATTTGTTACCTAAGTTATTTAAAAAGATATTTCAAAATAAACGGCGCATAATTGTGACCACTTTTTTCCATATACAAGATGCTAGTTTTAAATTTTTAGTCTGACGTTTCGTCTCTGGTTAACCATCATATCAGCTTTATTTTTTCTTATGGAAGCCATTTTTACTTTTTGTGTCATTTGATAGAGCTTTTTCCTATCAATAAATGGTGCTGTTAATCCGTAAAAACGCAAGAAACTGCGAACGTACACTGCCCACAACAAAGTTGCCAGACAAAAAAAGAAGATATTTTAACAGTATTACTTCAGCCTCCCTTTGACGAATGTCAAATTTGAAATACTCGGCGAGTAATAACTTTGTAGTGAAATCGTTCCACACCAAACTTCTCTTCGAATCTAATTAGGGTACATTATTCGTATACTAATAATTAACACAAGTATCTCTATAACCTATAACTGATACTGGCTGAGTGCTCTCGATTTCATTTGGACTTGTACTGACCCCTTCATATGCGGTTTATGAAGGCTCCAAAACGGCACGAACGATTTGCTCGTCTCCTAGTAGATTCCTGGCCATCAAACCCTGCCTTGCAACACTATAACCACAGATATACGTCGTGTGCTATAACTATACGTTTTTCCCCTATACAAATCTTAACTCTTTCCTTAAAATGACTATAGGTACTTATGTGGTGAGTTTAGTAAATTTATTAAATGTAACAATCTGAAAATAAAAACTTCTCATAAAGCAGGTACAATTTATGGATAAAAAATATTTACTCAAGGATCCAGTGAATATGTATTTAATACACCAATCTTGATTTTCTATAGGACAATTCAATTCATCTCGTATAGAAGGATGTATTTAAACTGTAGAAAGGTTGCCATATTTTTATTGAAATGTACAAAAAGAATACAATAGTATTTTACATTATTAGCCAGGTAAGTGAGTTTTTACTGGCGATAGGAGAAGTTGACTGGCGAGCCTGTCATCTCCTAGAGCCAGTAAAAACTATTACCTGGCGTATAATGTACAATATTTTATTTGTTACTCATTTGTAAACGTAAATAATTAGTTCTTAAATTGATCTTGAAGAAATGTCTAAAATATCATGTGATCCATGTAACAGAGACTTCGCATTAATTCTGGCCAATGAAATTACTAGATTACTAACTTGTAAAATTTTTACAGGTCTGCTGTCAGTTTTACAAGTCAAGTCAGTAGCGTTTAAACATGACGTTTACCCGTTTGCGTTTTGTCTTGTTAATCAACGTTTTTGCGCGATCGGTCATTTCTGACTATTTACCATGGGTGTTTCCATGACAGTACGTAGAATTTACGAGTTACTATGATTACGACGACGCCAAAATTACTTACCGATCTAAAAACAGAACAGCAAAAATACTTACCGACGCCTTTTTAAAAATCAACAGTCTTACATTACATTTAATCTTTAATTATTGTTAGCTGTTTTTCCTATAGCAAGACGCTCATAAAGTCATAAAGGAAGTGCAAAGCTAGTAAACTACATCAGACACATGCACATTTTTATGAAATTATTAATTTCAATTTTGACATTTAAACTGGTTGCCTAGTGATGTACACCATACCACTTCGATCATTTCGATTTATTCTGCTCGTTAATTTCTTAGTGCATATTTATATTGGTTGCATAATTTTAATTTCGATCGCGCAAAAAATGTTATAAGCACGTCGAACGTTAAGGGTTACCGTTCTCAGACAATAATTGGAGTCGTCGCTTCGCTCCTCCTCCAAATAATTGTCTTCGAACGGTAAAAATCCCTTACCGTTCTCCATACTTAATATACTATTACAACTGAGTAACAAATAAAACTGTTTTCTCAAAATTCACTCAAATTAAATTTGACGTGTGGTTTCCAGGCAAATTGCGCGGTTATGACAAATGCGGATGCCCGATCAACATGTTTGTGATTTTCAGCGAGTTTGAATTATGATTAAAAAAATGGCGACCGCTTTCAAACAGTTTGACAATTAGCAATGCGTTCAGTTAATATGCTTATATAAAAAGCGCAAACGGTTTGCAAACAGTTGGTTCTGGTGAACGCACCCATTATCATTAGTTCACTAACAAAAATCATTAAGAAATAGCCAATAGAAACAAAGGATTTCGCGCGTTGCTAACCAACAAAACCATCCTAAGCGTAGTGAACTAATAATAATGATTGTATAAACCCACCATTAATGATTACATTTAGGATATTGCACCAGATATATTTAATACTTATTGTACCGTTTTCCATATATCTTTTTGAATTTGGGAAGCAGTGGTTGCTTCCCATAGGTTGCTCTGCAAAGTTTTAAGTCATTTCTTTAATCTTTAAATGAAACTGAATTTATTATTCTACAGCTTAGACCATATAAGTAGTAGGTACATGGACTGCTAATTGTAACTAAAATATGGTCAAGGACATCGTCTGGGTTTGTGAGTTTCAGGGTAAACGAGTCTGTCCAAAGCTGCCTGATATTAGACACGATTTGAGACTGTCTAACCTATAAATTAACAAACGTCAATTAATTATAATCACCTAGATATGCCAAAAAAGCAAACCTATCCTTATTTGTGGACGTATAGAAGATAATCATGAGTATTTAAAGCTTCGCGGTTACTATAAAAGCTACTCTTTAAGCGATCCGAGTGGTGTTTACACGACTGTAGTTTATCCTGAGATTCACATACCCACGACTACGGGGCCCTCTATCCATGACCACCCATTTAGTATTGAAAACATAGGGCTAATAGCAGTCCATGTACTATATGGTCTAAGTTCTACAGTCACAATTTGACAAGACAAGGTATATTGGTCCTACAATCAATTTTTTAGCTCCAATATGGCGGATTATGATAAGTTGTCGCCACTGTCCTAATCTTTGGTAGTATATAATCAAAGGTACTAATAAGTCACTGTAGGCTAGAATGAAATTTCGATTCAGGAAATTTGTATGGATTGAATGAGCTTGTAACCCTTCTGATTCTTTTATTTGTTACTGTATAAACCTTTCTAGCTCTGTTACGGTCCTCATTCTTTGCCATGGCGCGTGAGAGGGCTACTAGTGTGTCCTCGGTGGCATCTGCGAAGTGTCTGCCAGTTGTACATATGCTGTGCAGTTGTGTGAAGACCGTCTGTTTTTTTTCAGGATACCTACAGTGTGTACCTATACTTTGCTTGGTATAGAACCCTGTGAAGTCAAGGTGATGTTCGGTCTCCTCCAGTTGCTTTTAGCCGTTTGCGCTTAGTAGTGGTTTGTTTTTGGATTGACTAATTTACAACAGATAAATGTGAACAATTATTCACAGCATAAATGAGCATCTACTCAGGTGCGGTTAGGACAAAAACAAAATAAATTAAAAGTTTGAAAATGAAAAGGAAATTGTCCATTGGTAAAAGCAGATTTCCTTATTGCAAGCCCCATCAGTTGAAGAATCTCTTATCAGGGAAAATAGGATCATACACCTAATACCTTGCCTCATATTTTGAAGCTAATATCTTCTATCGCATATACTTACTGAAAATACTGTTCTGAGAGTTTCGGGCGAAAAGATAAAAGGTAGAAATAGAAACTTTCACATTGTCTCCCAAACCGTCAAAGAATCTCTGTTGTGCGAGCGCTGATCTAGGCGCGATTGGAGTTACAGTTTAGGATGTTAGACAAGGGACAACACTGAGATAAAAAAAATAATCCCATGAACGTGAAACAACTCTGTCCCCAGCAAAATTAAACAATCCTTACATTTATGTAGGCAAGGAAGATAACAATAAGTTGCAATTTTTTATTTAAAATAATTATGAATAGAAATGTATCCCCTATTTACTAATGTATGAAACAAAAGTTAAAAAAAACATCTAATCATAAAGGGCAAACCCAAATATTTAACTCCTAAAAGTAATCTTCCTTCTCACTTCATCGGCCGTGTGAGTAGAAAATTTCTCTGAATTCTCTTGTAGAGGTTCCCATAAAATCAATTGGCGTACTGCAATAGGATAATCACTCTGAAATTCTAACAATTAATACATCAAAGTAGACACATAGACAGTGATTACCTTTTGGACCTGCGGTATCATCATCAGTAGTTTTACGTTTTGATAACATGCCTGGCTGATAGATAGCCATTGTAGGACGATCTTTATTTCTAATTCGTCTTTGTAAACGTGGATCATGCTCTTTGCATTTGCTTTCCTTATCCAGACTAACATCATCATCAAATTCAGTGGAAGATTGATTCTCCAATTTGTGTTCAACTGGTAAGCTGCTCTCTTCCATGTCGTCAGTCTGCACGTTACCTGCTTCTTCATTTTGCCCTTCGGTACTTTCAGCTTGCACTTGACCCTCAGGCATATTATCTGTTTCTTCTGGCTTCTCAACAATTTCTTCTACGATCTTAAGCTCAGCTTTCCTAGCCTCGTTCCTCCTCTCCTCTCGTTTTTCACTATATTTCTTTGTTCGCCGAGGTGCCTTGAAGTCTGGTTCATTTTTATACTCTTCAAACCTGCGACTTCTGAACTCTTTTTCCCTATAATCATCTCTACGGTTTTTATATTCTGATCTCTTATCATGATAATCTACCTTTTCCGAACGAGTTGGAAATCGAGGTTTTAATTTAAAATGTCCCTTCGAGTCCTCCTTGGCACTTTTGTCCAACTGTGGAGTATCTTCTTCTTTTATCTTAGCATCATGTTTCTCCTCCTCTTTCAAACTATCAAGAGCTGTTTTGGTTGAACGATTGCCACCAACCGGCTTACTGGCAACTTTTGCAGGAGATTTCTGTTCGTACCTTTTACGTTCATCTTCTCTTAATTTTTTTCTTTCCAGCTCCTTTCGTTTTCTTTCTTCTCGACGTTCCTCTCTTATACGTTGTTTATCAATACGCCTTTGTTTGATGTAGTCCAGTAGTGGTGTACTCGATATTTCCTCTTTTGTATCATTGCCAAACTGATATGAAAACTCTGGTTTAATATCTTGATTAGGTTGCTCCTTAAGCGACTCTACAAATTCCAAATAGATAGGATCCGATTCAATGCTCCCCACTTTTGGATCAAGTCTAGGTTTGCGTTTACGCGGAATCTTTTGGAAAGATGCAAATTCCACGACGGCAGGGTACTCGTGTCCTTTCTGGTCTACAAAGACGTAATTATCAAACTTTTCCTTAAACATAAATATATCAGTTGGCTGAACAAAGTTTATGTAAACTCTTCCAAATGCGTGTTCGCCAAAACTCATGTCCCCCCTGACAATGTATATGTAATCATAATCTGGTATTGGAGAAACCTGCATTAAAAACGATTGTAAGTCGATTGAAGGGGGTAAACGTCTAACAATGACTTTTGTTAACGGTTTTTCTTTTTTGTCTTTAGATTTCGGTATATCTTTGTATGTTTTGTCTTCACAAGATGCATTAGGTCCATCGGAGACCGCCATTTTTGTAGCTTTCAGGTATGCAATGCGCTCCACTTTATGATAGGTCTTCAAGATTTTATCTTAAGTTCTGATAAAATGAATAACAAATTCACAGAAACATTTTACAACAATTATAATATAAAATGTACAATTCATAAAAACATTCAATCAGCTGTTAATAAACACTAATTTTTATACTAAATCCTTGCTATACAAAGTTGCATTACTCATACAACGAACTTGTATCCTTAGACTGAAAGAAAGGGGACTGACAATATCCTATCCAGCGTAATGCTGCGCGGTGAAACCTGGGGCGGCCATATTTTCGGAGCCAAAATTTGTTTAATTTTTCATTTTCGTGATTATGCGATCCTTAAGTCTCGAAATATCCGATTAAAAACATTATTGGACAATGGTACATTGTAGTGCACGGAAGTAATAGCCAAAAAACACACGAAAGTATTTCGTTTCACAGGTATAAATTTGAGGTTAGTTTTCGGTGGAATAACAAACAAATGTGGGCTACACTTTACGATCAATATTATCACTCCTCATTCTTTTTCCTTCTCTAAGCTTGTATCATTGTATCTACAGGGTGTTCTAAACGAATATCAGGGTTTAACGCTTTGTACTTTTTATCACAGACAACTTGAACTTATAATATTCATACATCAAATGATGAAACAGCTCAAACTCTAGATTCTTATCCAGAACGTGTAATGTTGTTCTAGGACCTTTTTAAATAGTCTAATCTCTAAAGAGTTCTGAAAAGACGAAGACCGCTCTGAAAAAAGCCTTTACAGAGCAAGAAAAAATCAACACGCACCACTCATACTTTCTTTAAATTGTACTTCGAGCGAAAATGAACCCTTAACGAATTAAGAGCTACCACATCTGGTTGTAGTTGTGGGCGTTTTAGGGAGTATTCGTGACTACTCACTACCATGAGAGCGATACAAAAAGTCTTTTTTGTACCCCATGGACTAAATCAACGTATCTTATCATTTAAGAGACTTGTCACAATAATCAATGGTGTCACTTTTGCTCCCGGAGAAAGATAAAACGCGACGCGTGATAAAAAGTAACAGCCACATTGAAATTTCAAACACAATTTAATGTGATGGACTTTTTTGTAGTTTTTTATGCCACATGATTTTGCTAATTGAATTTATTGTGCCGATTTTTTTTGTAAAATTAGCAGAAATACAACTGAAAATTAACTAATTCGTATATCATTAGATGAGAGAAAAGTTTTCTTTCGATTGGTGTCATTATAAACCCCAAGTTAACATGAGGGGCAAAAATCTGCAAAAAAAACGTTTTTGCCGTGTTAATTCTCTATTTTCGGTTTTGGAATATTCACCCGGTATAGTAAATTTAATAGTGCGACTATGAAACGTTGGCATAATGGAATGGCTGCGATGTGTTGGCACGCCTGATATCTCTTCCAAGGACAACCGACAAATATGATTAACTTAACCTAATTTTTTTTCCTTGCCTTAAAGCAACAGTACACATAATGTATGCAATAAATAAACTATTTAAATTTGTAAGGAATAAAAAATATTTCTCTCGTATTTACACTCACAGTCAATGCAAAGTGAAACCCCCGTGGAAGGTCATTTTTTATGGTACCGACGAATTTTCAGTCGAAAGTTTGAAGGTACTCTGCAAGGAATAGTAAGAGCATTTTAATTTAATTGTCTTCAAGCATTTTCATGAAATGTTTAGTAGACATGGATCGTTATTAAGCAATTTGGAAGTTGTAACCTCACCAAAAGCTAAAAAGAATCCAATTGAAGTTTATTCGCAGCAAGAAAAGTTATTAGTTCATAAATATCCAGTTGACGAAATAAAATGTGGCAACTTTGATATTGGGATTGTTGTATCGTTTGGACATCTCATTCCGGCGAATATAATCAAAAGTTTTAATCTGTAAGTGCATAGATTATGTTCCTGACTTTCCTGTCTATTTTTGTGACTGTTATAATAGTCTATTGCACCATTTAAATGAAGGCTTAAGCTGAACATTATTAGATAGCAATTAGATTTTAAATAATCATACACAGTTGATATACATGCAGCTTCAGTTTTAAGTATGTGTGGTGCTGTTAAGTCATAAGTACCTGTTACATTTAAACAATGCTATTACTTTTTCATTATAAAACTCTTAAGATTTGCTGTAGTGGAATGTTGAATGTGCACGCAAGTCTATTACCAAGATGGAGAGGCGCTGCACCAGTTATATATGCGATGGCGAATGGCGATCAAGAAACTGGAATAACCATAATGAAAATAAAACCAAATAAATTTGATATTGGTGAAATAGTTCGTCAAGTTCGTGTAAAAATTTTGCCCGATGACAGATTACCAGATTTATTAAACAGATTAGCACAAGCAGGTGCTTTTGCATTAGTTTCAACACTTCGAGAAATGCCAAGTTGTTTGAACTGTGCCAAACCTCAATCCAATGAAGGTGTAACATATGGTAGGTTGTAGTGTATTACAACACGAATATACAGTGATTATATTTCAGCACCAAAAATTGATCAAAAGATGGCTGTAGTGCTGTGGGATAGTTTATCTGCTCGGTCCGTGATTAATTTAGATCGGGCACTCACAGGTGTTTACCCTTTAATGACAACATTTTGCGACACTCAAATAAAATTGTATAACATTTCACAAAGTCAACAATTACCACTGATCAACTTTGTCAGGCCTGGATTAATAAGATACTGCAAACAGAGTAAAAGTTTAGAAATTCAGTGCTCAGATGGAAACTGGATTATGGTAACACATGTTGGTGTTCCTGGAAGAAGAATGATGTCTGCTGCCGACTTTAATAATGGTTTTTTAAGTAAAGTGTCTGAGAATTTTCGAATATGTAGATAATAGTAATTGTATCTAGTAAAATTTGAAATTTAAAAGTTCTTGTTTAAAATATTTAAATTCTCCCTATTTCATTTGGGTTGTTAGAAAAAACACCAACAAAATGATGATATGCTGGCTTGTTTGGTTGGGTTGATCCTTATCTAAGAATTTCAGTAATAGCAGCAACAGTTATTTGTCTATTTGCTTGAATCAAAACCGGTTCAATATTGGTTTCATTCACAGCTGTAGAGGTTTGTCTAGTAGTATGTAGCGTGTCAGTTACACTTTTTGTTGCACCACTTGGATCTTTACTACATGTTTTCCACAAAAATGGCAAGAGTCTCACCAAAGAGTTTTTACACTACACTCTTTCTCTGACTAAAAGCCCTTGACATAAAGTGTACCCTTGAGTGTATCTTTTTTTTAGAATAATTTACTAATGAATTATTGGATGCTTTTACAGCAGTCTTGAGATTCCTCTCAAGAAGTCAAGCGTTACGAGCATAATATACAGTGCTATTTATTAACAAGTAGAAATAGGGAAAAACAATATACATACGTAAATGCCTATGTCTATAGTTCTTAATGAATGGCACTGTATATTATGCTGATGATGTAACGCTTGTGATTTCCGAGAGGGATCTCACATATGGATTTACCTATGTGTATTGTTTTTCCCTATCTCTAGTTTTGAATGACAAAATCATTCTGAAGGGCGCCTAATTTTATGCAACTAAATAACATACAAATAAACACTTGGCCATTGAATTTAGGCTGTCACATTAATGAATTTGAATATTGTTATGTGAGAACTCTTAGATAGGGGATTGCTGCATACTGCTATTAGTGAACAATTAGGTTGCCATGGATTTTAAGCTACGCTTAAGCTAACACTTAAATTTGTCAGTGCAAATAGCCATTAGTGTTTCTTCTGTAATATGATGTGTCACATTATCAAAAGCTTTGAACATGGCAATGGAATGGAGGCGGCTACAGAAACGGCTTTGTAGCTCAGTGGTAGAGCGTTGGGCTACAAAACCAGAGGTCGGGTGTTTGAACCTGAGTTGAGGTGAATTTTTCATCTGTGGCAGAGATGGGAATTTCCTAATTCGTAAGGTAAATACCGGAGTAGTACTTAAGACAAACAACTTAAGACCTTCGGCAGGGACACCTCTAAAAAGCAATATGCGGGTCACTTTGTAGTTGGGCGTAAGCCTGTTGAGGGCCTAGAACAAGAGGGACAATAAATAAATAAATGTACTGCATTTTCAATTCCCTGCAACGTAGAACTAGTCTTTCATATAGGAGCTTATTATTGTCGAGACAAGTGACCATTTGTATATATAGAATGCCTTCCACGATCTTGACACTCGAAATTCCTCTACGTCGCGAGAACTGATAAAACACCTGTATCCCTTATCTCGCACGTGACATTGTATGTCGAAAAACTAATTAATTCTTGGTCGATAACAATTTTTTATCAACATCTTTTCAGATAAAACTTCAAACTCACGTAAAAAATTCGATTAAATTCTTCCTTAGTTGCCCGTTTTTTATTTCTCATACAAACTTAATATAATTAAATTAATTAAACAATTACGGACTACCTATATTACCACAGTCACAATCTGGATTTAGAGAAAACCATAGCTGCAGCACCGCGTTGTTGAATGTTACAGACGATATTTTTTCAGCCTTAGATCAGGGAAAACTTTCAGTGATGGTATCACTAGATTTTACTAGAGCGTTCGACTTAATAGATCACAATATATTGATAAGCATTTTACATTATTTTGGCTTTAGCAACAATGCGTGTGCTTTGATTAAGAACTATCTTACTGATCGGACGCAACAGGTAGTATTGATTAATAATAGATCATTGTCAACACCTGTAGCAATAGGCGTTCCACAAGGGTCGGTGTTGGGACCTCTTTTGTTCATTATATACACTGCCACCCTCCCGAATTGCCTGAAATATGCAACGTGTGCTATCAATATGCTGATGATACGCAGTTGCAATATAATTTCTTTAGTAAAGATTTAGACCTTGCGAATGAGGGAATCAATAGTGACCACAACGACTTATTACAATCATATATATTATTACAATCGGCGGAACCAATGGCGTACGTAGAAATTTATTGGGGGGGGGGGGATTAAACAAGTTCGTGGCACATACAGTCACCCAGTGCGTACTAGAAGGGGTAGGGGGAAATAGAAATTGGGTTGCATATATCTATTTATTATTGTACAGGCGAAAAAGATTAGATTAGAACGGTATTTTATTTCTTACTGCTGACAGGCCCCTTTATTGCTTTTGCTTTAATTAGTCAACGAAAACTTTGAATAATAGGTATATTTATGGGCAAAAAACCAATTTCGACAAAAAATTCAAAGGGCCGTAACTTTTGATCTAGTAGTCCGATCTTGGAACTGTTTCGAATTATGGATTCTACAGGCCACATTCTATAAGAAAATATTTTTTTCCGGTCAATCTGAGACAATTTTTTTTCTGGGCAAAAAAAGGCAGTTATTACCTTCCTTTTTTACCAAAAATCGCCTGCGCCAAAATTTATCGGGAAAAAACTTTTTCTTATTAATTTGGGTGCGTAGAATCCAAAACGATTCGTACCTTTTCGATTAGACGTTTCAATCAAATTTAAAATTCTTATTAATTTCGTCATTTCGTGAAAGGCAGGACGCAGGTACCTCACCTCAGTAGCAGTACTAAGTACCTGATACCTATTTGTTATTTTGGGCATCAATGTAGCGAATTGCCGATCGATGCCGAATAGCCAAATCGTTGCGACTGCCAATACTGATCACTCACTGAATAGTGAATACTGAATACTACAGAATATTTAGATTTTAGTGACTTTAGACTTTAACCAAAACCAAAATTGCTCTCTATATCTACCTATATATTATTGCCTTTATTTTAAAGGGGCGGAGCGGATAGCGGAGTATTACCTAAATACCTAATAGCTATGATGATAACTCAATTCTTCTGGGGGGGGGGGGAAATATCCCCTTCATCCCCCCCCCCCCCGTAAATACGCCACGGGGCGGAACAACTTAACCTAAAAATAAACCCATTAAAATCCTCTGTAATCATCTTTGGAGGAGCAAAAGAAAGAGAGGCCTGGAAAGATGATATAATTATAAAAGTGGGCGATGAAATTCTACCAATTAAAGATGATGTGAAAGTTCTTGGGTTAGAAATTGATTCCAAGTTGAGATTTAAATAACTTGTTTCAAATAGGATAAGAAAAGCGTACTCAAATTTAAAATTAATTTTTAATCAACGTTCTATACTTAATCAACAAATGAAAATTTCGCTTTGTAAATTGTAACTCACTTGTCCTGTCACAGTTTGTGTATTGTGCTAATGTGTACGGACCATGTTTGGATACTTATGATTCCAATAGAATCCAAAAATTCAAAATTCCTGTTTGAGACTATAATTTATGGAATAAGGAAGCATCATCATGTATTCATATATCACACAAATTAAAAGAAACCGAATGGTTAAGTATGAAAAATCGTAGATATGTGCATGAGATGGTCTTATACCATAAAGTGGTAACAATAAATGAACCTGTTTATTTATATAATAAAATTCAATTTAGTAACAACCCTAGATTCGTTAACTTAATTATACCACCAACTCATAAAACGGCATTATATGAAAGATTTTAATTTTAATTTTATCCCTCTCTTGTTTTGGGCCCTCAACAGGCATGCGCCCAATTACAGAGTGACCCGCATAATGCTATTTAGAGGTGCCTCTGCAGAAGGTCTTAAGATGGTCTATACTACTCCGGTATTTACCTTACGAATTAGGAAAACTGCAGGAAAACCTAATTCGGAGTAGCCGGTAGAATGTTCGGAACTGGTGTAAGGTAATTTCCATCTCCGCCACAGATGAAAAATTCACCTCAACCAAGGTTCGAACACCCGACCTTCGGATTTATAACCCAATGCTCTACCACTGAGCCATAAATCCGATAATCCGATAAGATCATTTTCATACAATATTTCAAAAAAATACAATGCTTTAAGCAATAGTTTAAAAAACATACCCGTCGGGAAATTTAAGAAGGCACTTCATAACATTGTTTTTGCTAGGCAAACGTTTGAGTTGAGTTAAATTTTATAACCCATTTAACTGAAAGATATTTATTTTTATTTTTTTTCATACCTACATTTTGTATTTCATAAACTTATTTATGTACTAATTTTTTTTCCATTACAAAGTAATTCTTTATTTTTCTGTACAATTCCCAATTAGTTTTATATTTCTTTTCATTATAGTAGGGTTAAGTGTAAGAGCAGAGTTGGGTCGCCGTGAGTAGCCCAACATCTGAACTTCGCCCTGTTAAATTGTGTGTATGGCATGATTTAATAAAAGACTTTATTATTATTATTATTATTAAATTTGCAATAAAAAAAACTTAACATCAAAATGGCAATTCAACAAATTTTTCCAATTCTGTCTATTTGAAAAAAAATTTCCAGATCTTACATACTTAGGTACAGGTTGTCCTGGCTGCTATTTCCGATATTCAAACCGAAATCAACAGTTCGTATTTTTACATTTCAAGGTGATGGCGCGCTCTCATCTTCGGCATTATTTCAACCTAAAGAAAGGACATCCCCAATTCCCATGTAGTTTACCCAACAATATAAATGGGCCTGTATAGCTATTTCTATCTTCCAATATACATTTTTTATGAATAGGGATCACCACAGCAGGTATAAGATGATCTGAGCTTATCATGGAGTTAACCGTTATCGTACTAATAAGGGTCGGTTTTATAAAAGTCCGGTTGAACCCCTGGTTGAGCCTCTTGCGTTTTATAAACACTGCGAGTTGTTTCCTAGGAGTTCCTCGGAAATTCCAACCAATGAGTGCGCAACGTTTGATTCTACAGACGCGGATGCTAACCGATCAGCTGACTATATAGTGACTAGTGTTTTGGTTTTCGATACTTACTTGATTTGCTCGTCTCACCTGCTGTGTACCGCGCCCTAAGGGTATGGTACATAATTTAGGGTTATGTTAGGTTTGAGAAATTTTGGGTTCAGTCCATATCCATATAGGTAGTAGGTATAGTCGCACAGATAACATATTGGTACTATGTGGTAGTAGGTATAAGTTTGTAAAAAATTGAAGTTTATATCGCTCAAGGTTCTTACATGTTCGTTAAACCAATTTGGACTACCGTTTCCTAGTTTACAATGAAGTTTCTTTATAGGAAAGAAGACATGAAACTAACGCCTTCAATGCCGCTTGCCTATCTGTGAGAATATCTATTTTTTCTCCCTTCTTACCCATTTCTAGGTTTATGAGGGCACAGAGGTTTATGATGACATAGACCTCAGCTTGCAAAACAGTGGATTTTTGTCCCAGTAATTCAGAGATCCGGCATGCTTGGGCCGCTCATCCCAATCCCTGTTTTACCATCTGTGTACTACTGCGTAGAACCATTCCTAACGGAAGGCTTTCCCAATCATGAGGCCTTTGTTTCCTGCGGCTGCTTTGATGCACCTTCTATATCTGCAAACGCGGTTAGCGTTAAGGGTGGTTTAGACGCTACGATAAATTGTAACAATTTATCGTAACGATCGAATCGTTACGATTTATCGTTGCGTGTGAACAGAGGATTGTAGCGATTTATTGGAATTGGAATTGGATTGGATGGTTGATGGCGGCCGGCTTCAATTTCTGCGAATCGTAGCGATAAATTGGAACGTGTAAACAATAACAGAGATTTATCGCTACGATTTGTAACAAATTTTGCCGACGTGAACCATTTTTGTATCCATTTGGGCTACTGGACTGTCTCTAGCGCACACATTTTACATTTGGCGACTGGCGATCAAGTTTGGCCACCCAAAATAGTATATTAAGTATTAAGGTCAGTAGGTGTACTTTACTGGTTGAGGATAATAATTGCAAACCGAGAGCGCAGCTCGAGGTTTGCAATATTATCCGAAATCGGTTAAGCACCTACTGACCGTGGTGCTTACGCTATTTTTTGCACGATCAATTTATAATTGATATAAACCAATGGTATACCACAAAAGTGGTTCAATAAACGATCTCTCTCTCTCTCTCTCTCTCTAAACTAAATTCGAATGTATCAATGTGGTAGCATCACAATGGGTTCAGTAATTTTTTGTGGGTTGCTACAGTTACGTTTCTGTTTTTGAAAACAAAACAACACGTGCGCGAAACGTGGTTTGGTTGAGACTAAGTGAACATACCTAAATGATTCAGAAGATTTCGAAATAGAAGCTGCATGGAGTATTGGCTGCGCATCGATCATTCCCGAAAAATTTAAAAGTAGATATGAAGCCGCATATGATTCTTTCCTTAAATGGTGTGAAAGTAAATGTCAAACTGACATAAGTGAAAAAATGGTGTTAGCATATTTTGTTCAACGTAGTGAAGGATTGAAATGGCTTATGGTGTGATTATTCCATGTTGAAAATATGATTTTTCTAAGAAGGTGTGTTGATATTTCTAAATACAGTACGCTGATAGCATTTTTGAAAAGAAAGAACGTTGGGTATCAGCCAAAAAAATCTAGCGTTTTTTCTAAAGCAGATTTCCATAAATTTCTTACGGAAGCACCCGATGACACGTACTTGGTGAGTCATTAACTAACAAGATTGAAACCGCTCAGAAGATTTTATGTGGAACTCCAGGGAACCCTTCATCATCTTCGTTGCCATCAACAGAACCTGCTATTTCATACCGTACTAATTCAAATCCTCTATCGACTGCTGAGTGTGAAGAATCTGTAAACACCGTGTTTTCCAATTGCCTGTCTAATTCCCGAACTAATTTTTGTAACTTGCAAATTGTACATTTAACTTCCACATTAATAAACAATAATTTGATTTTTGACACATATCCTACTTGTCGCATGTTACTGTACTGTCACTTGGTTGCTAAGCACGTTGCTATGATACACTTACCGCCCTAGGTTGGTAAGTGCACCTTACCGCCTTGAAAATGAATTAGTAAGTAGCCGACTATAACCGATCGTGCAAAAAAAATATTTAGCGACACATGGCTACTTATAAATAATAATCGAGATTAAGATTAAGCAAGCAATGTAAGCAATAAAATGCGAGTATAATTTATATTAGTGGACAGAACCAAAAGACAAGTGGAAAAGTAAAAAAAATTAAAACTGTATTAAACCGTGATCGACAATGAGATTGGAACAAGAAATCGTTACATGTAAACAGTACGCACTCTTTCGATTTATTGAACGATAAATTGAACAATCAGATCGTTACGATTTATCGAAGCCAAGATCGTAGCGTCTAAACCGCGCTTTAGAACCACCTCTTTTGACTTAAGCACCTTTTCAAGTTTGTATGTTAAACTAGGTAGAGCCGTGATTGTCGATTTTTCTTTTTGATAGGCGTGTTGTTTGAGCGTGATCACGATATTTTGTTAGCAACACAGCCGATCAAATTATATAATGACTCATAACAAATATGAGAAAAATAAACCCATAAAGAGCAGTTAAAAAGCGGCAGAGTACCTCGGTGTGACCCCACGGAGTCATTGGATTTGACCCATTTTCAATTGGCTTGTTACATGTGGTATGTATGTTAACTCATAAGTCATAACTGTGCAAAGTCTGAACCAAATCGGTCCAAGCGTTTGACAGTTATCGTGTTCACGGACAGACGGACACCATCGACTCCCCTATAAAGCTTGCATCGCTTTGCTCTGCCGCTTAATAAAGAATACAACATTAGGGAATGTTAACGGTTATTATAGCTTTAACTGGCGACATGTCTCCTGCTAGAGGTAACATTAATCCAGTATTCATAAAAAACAATTGCGTTAATTCCCTTCATACCAGAAAGTGAACCTACAATATTGTCGGTTGGTGTTAAGAAAAATTTTGCCCATACTATTTCGCAGCAGGACTAGCTGTGAAATTTACAGTATCTTGTTATCTGGGGCGATGTCGGCACATTCTAACCCCGCTAAAATGTGTGGCGCTAGGAGTGTCAAGTGAAGAAGGCACAAAGTGACGTCAAGTAGGCTCTACAAAGGAGTGAGGAAGATTCGAAGGAGAAGTAAAAAAGGCTCGAAAGAGGATTGAATTAGACATGAAGAAACCGTGAAAGAGATGCGCAAGATGCGTGATGACTGGCAAAGTCTCAAAGTAAGAGAAAAAAAGGTTTGAAGGTAGCACGAAGAAGAATTGAAGGCGGCATGAAAACGGTTCGAAAAATGTATGAAAAGGGCTTAAAAGGGGAGTCTAGGAAAGGCGCCCGAAAAAAGCTCTAAAGAGGAGTGAAAACTAATGGGAAGAGCGAAGAGTGGAAACGGATGTTCAGGCACGTATAATTCAAAGCTGGCGTGAAAAAGACTTGAATAAGGCGTGAGTCCGTGAGTGAAGGGGGAATGGTAAAAACTCGAAGGTAAAGTAAAAGAACTGCGAAGGGGGTGTAAAGAAAACTTGAAAAAAATTCTAAGAAAGGGTGAAGAAAGCTCGAAATAGGTGTCAAGAGGGCTCGAAGGAGGAGCGTGGAACGTTTGGGGGAGGCATAAAGAAAACTCGAAAGTGGGCAAGTTTCTAAACAAAACGTCTAGCAAGCTTAAAAGAGACGAGAAGACAGTTTGTAAAAGGCGGAAGAAAAACCTAGTATTTTCTTTTGCATGTCATTGGATGCAATGGGGGTGCTAGTGTTAACAAAGCATCCCCTTTGAAAGTCGAGGGTTTTTTCTCAAAATCTTTATTATATATTTAGCCGGAAATGTAAAATGGTGATGCTTTCGTACATTATTCAAGAGTTTCACAGGTTTTTTTGCAAAAGAAACTGGCCAATCTCCGAGTTAGCTAAATATAGTTCTGCAAGTGCTTATTTGAATAAAATCTTTGAATAAGTAATTTATTTAATGATAAAATTCAACTTTCATTCTTCGTCCATAATTAATACAATTCATGTTTTTAAAAAAGTGCGCGCGCGCTCTTTCCTGTCGGCAATCTTCGCGTAATGTTAAAGGAAGGAGAAGCTGTAAACGACAACTGTCACGGCCCTGACGTCAGTTATTAAAGTGTCTGTAAGGTTTATGTTTTATCGTTAGTGTTCCGTTTATTCGTTCTTGCTTTTTAAGCTTTGTTTATGTTACGGGACATGCCCTTATGTTTAACGGATTTTTGTTTTACCCAAAATTAGCCGCATTTAGAACAAATCAATCAGAGATTTTCGGTAAGTTGATGTTCATTATTTATGATAATTTGGTTGGTTTTTGTTCTTGCTATAAATATTTACACGACTCGCAATGACAAGTTTTTTTTAAATCTCTGAAGATAAACACTTAAAAAAAATATGTTCTCTGAAATGTTTTATCAATCCGAGTGCAGAAAGGATTATTAACAAGAATTTAGGTAATTATTTCGGGTTTCCTTGATTGCAGACGCAATATTGTAACGTCTTGTAAACCTACCTGTGGTAATTTATTATTCAATAAACCGATTATTAATTTCTGAATCCAATAATAAAAAAATGCCTATTTTTGTCAGGATTCTTTGGAATCTAATCAACATTTTCAGTTAGTAAATATATACACTTTTGCATAAATTGTGGTCTCGTTTTTGATGATAAAAACTGGAGTTTATTTTCAGGAAAAAGTAGAAATTGAGGTTTTTCATTTATGATGGCATTTGTTATTTATGGCGGAAAACAATTGTATTTTTATTTATTACTTTTTTGTTGTTGTAAATTTGAATAATTGGGAATCTTAAATTGACAGCATATGCGTTTCTAAAATTAAATGTTAACTTTTAGTTTGACATTTACAAAACATTTTCAAACGAAAAGCAGCTTACTAATCTACTAAATATTTTTATTGTTGACTGCATTATTTTTTTGAATTCCTGCCTGTTTGAGGCTGTTTTTGAAAAATGGGGTTGCCGAAGTTAAACAAATTAGATCTCTTTGCTACGCTAACGGCCTTTTTCGAAAACGTTCAATTTTTTTCGAGCTTTTTTTAATACTTACTTAATGGAATAATATGATCAGGCCGGCGTCGGGTGCCAGGTATTCTGATAAACTCGAGGATAAACTCTTTTGCGTGCAAGAAATAGGAAAATGATGTTTGCAGTAAAACATTCCTTCTTATCACGGAGATTTTTCGAAATTTGTGGAATGGGAAACCCATCCGCAGGAAATGGGAACTATCGAAAGAACTGTATTTTTATCATGCAAGTGATTACGATTGAACCTTGGTTTGTCTATTGTTTACGAGTTTCTTTATATTGAAATATTTTGTCCCCTAATTATTATGTGTTATTATACAGCAACGTTGTAAATAAAATTGTTGTATATTATAAAATTCTGCGTCAATTTGTAATGTTTTGTTGTGGGAAATCGGAGAAATGGATATTATAAATTATAACTATAATTATAAATCTAATTTTTGGTTCAATAATTTCACGGCACGAGTGACATAAATTCGATTTTTACGCAAATACTAAATTCCGAGCTAAATTCTAATTTATTTATTTTTTCCGAAATTGAAAAATAATAAATGAAAACATGAGCAGTCGTATACTTTTTCAAACTATAAGAAGCCTATTAGAACTACAACTACTAAAAAATTGATGCAACTGTCAAGGATTTTATTAAATACTTTTGGTTAATTATGTTATTATAATATTGGGGTAATTAAATTTCATTCAAAAATTTGGATGTTAAGCTAGATGCCATTATATGGTAATTTAATTCATACTAAAAGTGAGTTACCCTCAAGGATTTTAATTACTGATTAAGTACAATGCAATTACTCGTATATTAACTTTAAATCAAGTATATGACTATCACGAATTCCACCTACAAAATTTCATTAATTACACACTCTCAAGGTGTAACTGCGTACAATTTCGGAACGCGTATACAAAGCTTATCATGAAATTTGCTAAGTGACTCCAAGACCAGTGCTTTCATTCACAAGTAGAAGCAATTATGTACTCTGGGTTTGGTTCCCAGTTTTGGAGAGCTTTGCATAGCAATTAAAAGGGTTAGCAGATACTATATTTCAAAACGCAGAGTTTCCCTGGTCATATTTGGAGGGGGGGCGGCTGATGTCCTAGGATGGTTCATACCTCAACTCGTACGAAATACGAAGAAGTTCCTTGCAGAGATTTCTAAAAAATTGTAATAAAATTGAAAATGTAAATACCTACAGCTGGGAAGGACGTCACAATTTAGCATAGAGTATGGAAATGTGTAATGAATCAGAAAGTGTTTCGATCTAAAAGTAATTTATACCTGAAACCGTTTGAAGAGCCACAAAAGCGACTCGTCATGCCAACCCTTAAACCTGTTTGTATTATTTCGGGTTGCTATTACTCACCTTTACCTTGGGTACCTACCTTCTGCAAATTTTTAAATGGACATGACATATTTTTTTATATTTTATCGAGGGGGTAACGGCAAAAACGTTCCGTATTCCCAGAAATCATAGGTGAATTTTGAACTGTTTCTTTATTTTGCGGACATCACTTCGGGGAATCATAAAATGATTTTAAGATTGGATCGACAATTGGATTATTCCGGGAACCTTTTGAGCTTGCACCAGGGCTCAAATATTCGGGTAGAAAACACCAAGAAACATCTCAAATTGTATTTTTTCGTCCACTGTTTTGCATTGCATGTTAAACGTCCGTAAAGTAAAAAGTTGGAAAAAATTCATTGCATCCCACAAGATTCGCATGATGGGGGACAAATGATATGGATTCCATGAAGAGTTTTTAAACTGAATATTTCATTGAAGGTGAAATACAATGATACCGTTTTGCCAAACAAACTCGATTTGCACATACATTTGGGTTTAGGTGTCGTCGAGGGTGTCCTACTACTCTACTCACTACTGGAAAGTTGAACCTGTGCCGGGGGTTGATTTTTTTTTTTTGGGTAATACGAGCGTGATGTAGTCGATTGAAAGCACCTTTGAATAAGTTCACTAATGGTGAAATTACATTATTACATTCCATAATTTATGATTTATGAATAATTATTTTTCGCCCCCAAAAGTCATTCTTTAGTTTAGAATGATGGTTGTGATTTTTAAAGGTGCTTCAAAAAAATTGTTACCAGTGGAAGAATCGTCTCCAAGACTATGTGGCTTCCCAGAGATGCTATTTTGAAAGAGACAGCAATGAATTGTAATCATATTTAAATAAAAAATGTAAACGCCTTATGGCGCGTAACTTTAGCCAATTTTCCATAATTGATCAGAGTTGAAAAGGTCGTATACCTAATGTAAGAAAGTTGACATGCTCACATCTGATTTTACAATATGCGATACTCTTTCCTTTACTGTGGTTAAAATTTCAAAAAAATATCTCCACAAATAAGAATGCAAAAAGAACGAACTAAATATTTTCAAAACTGTAGGAGTAGTTAAGGCCACGGACAGACGGAGAAAGTTGCCCTAATAGCACCTTCCAACATGAGTTGGAAAATGCCCTAACAATATGTAAAGCATCAGTCTCATTACTTAATTTACACACCTCGTATTTTCAAAGTGGACAACCCGCATTTTGCAATCAGTTTTGAAAGTCGATGTATGGAAATCGTGCCCATTCAATTTTTGAGCATCCGCGAGTTAGTTTCCGAAAACAGAATTAAATCTTTCATGTTTCGGAGTTATCATGTTGAAATTCTCGCATATCGAGTACGAGAAGATTTAGTCCAGTGAATTTGTAGTTTCGAATTACAAAAGGTCCGATAGATTTTATTTTTCCGAAAAATCCAAGTTTGCCAATTCGACTGACGTCGGGAGAAATTTCTGTGTGTCAAAAATCTGCAAAAATTTCTACTTTTTTTCGATTTTTCTCAAATAATCCGCCACCGGCAATACTTAGGTAAAATCATCCATTATTAAAAACTGTAAATACGAAACTTTAAATTAGTGTATCTCAGTATCTCCTAAACTATACCTACATGTTAGGGAGCCAAATAAAATATCAAATTGAAGGTACTTTTATACACTAGAGTTTTTAATAATGGATAATTTTTAACCACAGAAATTTCTCCCGACGACGTCAGTCGCATTGGTGAACTTGGATTTTTCTCTCTCTTTACTATTTAAACAAGTTTGAAAAATAAAATCTTCTATATTGGAGTGTCTGCTAATTTTATTTTATGTAGATGTGTAGGGAATCTGCCATGATTGGCTCTCAATCGACAAATGGTTGCAATAAAAGGCCTGCTGGAGATATTTTTATACCATGGTTGTTGAGGTAAGTTTGGTTCTAATTGTTTGTAGTATTGCACATTTGTTATGTGTGCTTTAATACACACCATGACATCTCTTTTAGGAATATGATAGTTAAGACTAATATCTCTACTGTTTGCTGCCTCTTTAGCACGAAGGTCAGCAATTTCGTTACCTTCAATTCCTGCATGCGCTTTTATCCAAGCTATGATAACATTTTTTTCTTGCTTGCGCGCTTGGAAATAAAGTTCAAAAATATTCTTAAGGAGGTGGTTATTATTTCGGTAGAAATCAAAATTTTTCAATTTCTTAATAGCGCTTAAACTGTCAGTAAGTATTATAAGTCGATTGTACCTTAAGCTGAGGACGTATTTTAACGCTTCTACTATTGCAATCAATTCTGCCGAATAAATGGAAGTGTATTTAGAGAGTTTTGAACTAAATCTAAACTTGTAGTCACTATGATATACTGCGTATCCAACATTGTCATCATTCTTTGATCCATCTGTAAAAATTAAATGGAAATTTGGGTACTGCATCTTAACATCAGCTAGAAAAGCGTATTGTCTAAATGATAGTGGCAGCCTGCTATAGTCTGGGAAAGCGAAAGTATCTGCGGTTAGATTATATATATTAAACTGACAAGGGTAACCGTTATTCCTTTCAGATGACTCAACTACTTTCCTGTATTCTATAGTATCGCAATAACTTTGTACAATTGTGGGAGTAGCTTTATTTTTCCAATATGAACTTGTTAAATGTAGAATAAAGAGTTCGTGCAATCTATTGTATATAGGTGATCTTCTTTCATACAAGCCACCAAACACCAAACTATTGCTTAATAGTTCCCTACGCCTACTGAGCTGCATAATACCGCTTTCGGCATACAGAATATCAATTGGTGTACTTATAAAAAGTCCCAGACAAAGACGTATACATTTATTTTGTAACACTTCCAATTTTTTTAGATGACAGTTATTGGCCGCGC